ATTCTGTATCCAAGCTGAATAATGGATAAAACCCACCGATCAGATGTGATGGACCCCCAAATGGGGAGTCGGCTTTGTAGCCAATCCCCAAACGGGAGAGCGAACGGTGGGAACTGGAGAGATGGAGAGGTTCACCAGTCCCGTCAGTGCTGGCGTTTATCGTTGTCAAAACGGTGACAGCCCTGTGAGAAGCGTTGCTGCAGCTGTTGCTTTCTGCGCTGCTGGTGTTGCTGGTACTGTTGCCATGGTTGGAATTGCTGGCGGTACGATGGACGGGACCAGGACCACTTATGCCTTTGTTGCGTTGGGTTCTCCATACGACGAGCTGTCATTTGCGACTCATGAATGGCCTTGAGCTTGTGGTCCGTCCTGGCGTGGAAGAATCCCGTTCCATCGAATGGCATCTCCTTGATTCTACGATTCGTCTCCTCTGGGAAATTGCAGCTCCTTAGCCAAGCGTGCCAACAGAGGGAGATGGCACCTACCAGGGCCCTGGAGTCGGTATCTACATGATGCCATGCAGTTGAAAGTTGTTGTATGGCCACTTGCATTGCTTCCTTTATGAATACTTTGGCCAAGTCCGCTTGGTGGTCAGACAGAGAAGAGGCAATGTTCTCAAGCTTCTGCATGATAAAGAATTGGTATCGTGCAAGCGTCACCTCGTAGTTTGATATGCGGAGGCTGAGTCCAGAGGCCACATAGACCAGACGCGCTAGCATATCAATCTTTCTGCCCTCCTTATCACAAGGAGCTGTGTGGCCCCTCGATTCCCTGCCTTGGGACGACTTGACCCCACCGAGTTCGGTTTTAGATGATGCAGAAGGAATGGAATATCCTCCTGCCGAACCCAGTACATTGCCCCATAGTGATGAGACCTGGCCTGCGGCTGAGTCGGTAGATCCCAGGCCTGAACCATCGCTTGGCAAAGCATGGTTATAAGGAGTAATACGATGTCCGCTGATTGCTCACCCCTGATGATGTCATAGAACTTATCAGTGCTGGGATCGGGCCGAACAAGACCAGACATGGTAGAGCCTACCTCCAACTCATCCGAGTTGCCCTTGTAGCGGTAGTGCCCACTGCATGATGAATTCTCCGGGGAAGTATAGTGTTTCCATTCCCCATGGCCAGATGTGGATGGTGCCTCCCTCGGGACCAATGGCAATGGACGATTCTGACGATTCTCCCGGTTCTTCCTGGCCTGCTTGGTGAAGGCCAAGCAGTGGCCACACTTGTCCGTTCTGTGCCCCTTGCCAAGGCAGAGGAGGCACAGATCGTGCTGGTCCACAGGGAACATCTTGGAACCGCACTCCGCACATTTGTGAAAGGCCATTCGCTGCGCCATCGCGAAAGAGAAAAAAGTAGATAGTGCAGAGGGAATAGATAATCTTTTTGGCTTTTTGGGTTTTTTTAAAGAGCGAACAAGAGAGAGAGATAGCTTCGTAACAAGGGAAAAAACTTGGAAATACAAGGGTAAAGAACTTGGAAATACAAGGGTAAATGTTAAGATGCAGCTCAATGTATAAACAATCCACACATTCACAAGCAATAAAACTAAAGTCTTTATTGCTACTTATCTACAAGATTTACAACTCTACAGATAAGCTCTATGGTTGAGGTCTTTGCAATGCAGATGCTAATCCTTTAGTGATGTCTCTCTCGAGCCCATCTTGGGACTAGCTATCTTGGCCCTGCCTTTCCTCTCTGAGGGGTAACAAGGCTTGTCTTTGTTCCCACCTCCTCAGAATTCTCCGATTGGTTGCTAGGGAAAAGTTTATCAAGCCCCCTTTGTCTCCTGTTTCATGCTCAGGAAGCTCAGCGTCAGGAGGGGGTGGGGCAGTCTGCTCAAACTCTCTCTGAGCAGAACTCATAGTGTCTTTTCCCTCAGGGCACTCTTGCTTTGATGTAGGCTCAGGTGTTTGCTCAATGGGCGGAGGGTCAGGATGCGGTACAGCTATCTGCTCAGCCACCCCCAAGCTAGGTTGTGGGGTTGACATTCGGGTACAGGGTCCCAAGCACAAGACCTCCTCGTGAGTAGCTGCCTCTGTTGGGGCTTCAGGCACGACAGTAAAGAACTTGGAAATACAAGAGAACAATCAACGAAGTTAACTAGGCAAGGAAAGTAGTCAATGCGAGAGCGAAGAGGCACGAGGCACAGAGAACAGCGGTCGCAAAAGACTGGAGAAAATGGTGGACACTCCGCTCTATATATAGTACAGAGGGGGAGGGGAGCAGAGTTTTCTCACCAAAAACCGTTAACTTTCTAAACTTTCCAGCCTTAGGCACTGCGCAGGCGCAGCATCCATGTGTGTGATGCACAGAGGCCATGACAAAGAACTTTATGTTATACATAAAGGAAGGCATATAAAGGTTTTAAATAAATATGTAATTAATTTTTTTTTAACCACAAAAATATAGTATGAGCCATGCCCCCAGGCTGCAGGCCAAGCCACGGCTGCCTCGCCAAGCCAAGGGGTGAGCACGGTGGGGAGAGCTGGGAGGCATCCCACTTGGCCAGCCACAGCCCCATCCCTCGTCTCCCCTCACCTCGGCCCATGGAAAGCGGCCCTTATGGCCCTCTCCCGGCCAGGAGAGCTGCCCGCGCTTTCCTCTCCAGCCTCCCACTCCTGCTTCCCCTCCCGGAGCCAAGTGAGTGCCTGCAAGAGGACCTTCCTCCAGCTTGGAAGCGGGGCGGCGGCAAGAAGCTAGGAAGGCCTCGACAAAGGTGAGCGCGCCCTCATGGTTCCCCCTCATGGTGGATGGCGAGAAGGTTATTGTTTGGAGTGTTCGTGCAGGGAAGATGGCTGTGATCGCTACCCAATGCAGGGTTCGCAACCTGAGGCAATTTTTTTCTGAAATTTCTGTTCGCGACCCAATTTGGTCATGAATTGAGGTGTTCGTGAGCCGAGGTACCACTGTACATATTCAAACAGTTTCTACTTCTCCTCTGTGTGAGAAGTGTAGAATGCATACTTCTTTCTTTCTACATACTGCCAATACTCAGGAACTAGGCACTTGGAAAGAAAAGACTTGCATAAACTACTAAATAAAACTTCTAAAATGAAATCAAATAATGGAAGTAACTGCTTAGAGTCACCATTTCAAACTAGATTAAAACACTGTTTTATATTTTATTTTATTCTATCCTATATCTTTGACTGATCTAGATAGAAGTCTTCACAAGCTCATTTATCAATATGCTTATTTTGATAATGTTTAAAAACATGGCTAGTTATAGCACCTGTAATATTTCAGTGGTGAATAAGCTGAAATTCATGTGTATTTCAAACAGTGCGTTATATAGTACGGTCATGTGTAATTGTAAAATGTGGATCAGCTCTTAACAATAATTGAAAGAATAGCCTAGTTTGAATGTAACAATAAGCAGCCAGGGTTCTAGAGATTACTAACTTACTGAGATCGGACAAGCTAGTACATACAGCACAAATGCTCTCTCTCAGTTCCTCCTGCTAAGCAGAAGTGGCTAAGAAATTAGACTCTCTATCCATTTTTTAGTGTGATGTATAAATACCTGGTTCAGACATCATTGTAAACAAACCATGGACAGAGGGTCTATGGTTTGTTTTGTTACACCCACTTGCAGGAACAGTCAAGGAAGAACAGCCAGGAATCACACAGCATCATGCTGCTCAATCCTGAGAAGATAGTGTTTCCTGGAAATATGGCTTATTATAGTATCTGAATGACATAATATGTTATTAACAGAGAATGGGAAAATTATGGCTGCCATATATATCTGTTTTTTGACCCCTGTGCTTTATGAGGTCTGGTTTTTCCCCTTTTTACTGTACAACAGCTATCAGCCAGCACACTCTTTTGTATAATCTATTCCTTCGGGCACACTGAACCCTTGGTATATCAGTAGCAATATACTGCATTTATTTTCCTGTTCAGTGTTTTCTACTTTATGTCTTGAATAAACTGCAGCAATGACGGGCAGGGGAATGAATGAATTCTTTCCATAATGTGACTGTATTTTATTTATTTATTGCATACAGGCTTCCCTTTTTTGTTAAATGTTAATATTGTAGAATATTATTCAGAAATACTGTAATCAAGTGTGATATAGTAAATGAAACTGAACTGGATAGAAGACTCTCTCTCTCACGCTTACTCTCTTTCTGTGTGTGTGTTTAGTTTTAGTGTTTAAAAGCAGCAATTATGTTATTATAATTCAAATATTTGTGTTGGATCAAAGTAAACTACTTTTTAAAAGTTGATGACCTGAAAGGGCATGAATCCTTTAAAGCAATTCATCATCTTTAAGAAATGCATTTTTGTGTAGAAATTCTCCTCACTTCAAAAATATGTATTAAGAGACTAAAACTTTTACCAGCTCTTTATTCTCGGCCACTATCTGGCCATTTTAGTCTTATTTCATATGAACATCCCACAGTTACATTTTGACACCTGACCTCAAATCCAAGAGGTCTTATAGTCTCCTTTGAATGATCTCATTTCAGATGCAACTCATTGCCATGTTTCTTGAGCCTTTAAAAGGTTCCTTCTGCCTTAACGTCCAAAAGACCAAGGTTAGTCTTCAACTTGGATTCTGCATGCAACTACACAACTTAGTAGTGAGTCAAATCAAACCAAATAGAGGGTGTTGTAGTAATACACTCAGTACTAAAGCAATAAGCCTGCAGGCAGTTCATAGTTTTTCCAAGTGCATGCTTTTTCTTGAGCTTGTATCTACTTACCGACATGGCTGCATGGTCATTGTTGTTATTCTGAGAAGGAAACCAGTAAGGCAATCAAAACAAAAAACATTAAAATGCACTGTCAACATCAGATTTCATTTTGGTAGCAGTCAGAAGGAGAAAACATATAAAAAAGTAGATGTTTGCTAATAACACACTGAGAACCAGTGTGGTGTAGCGGTTAAGAGTGCAGGACTGGGACTCAGGCTGGGTTCTAGTCCTCATTCAGCCATGGAACTAACTGGGTGACTTTAGCCCAGTCACAGACTTTCAGCCCAACTACCTCACAAGGTTGTTGTATGGATAAGATTAAGAGCAGGGGGAGGAGAATGATGTAAGCCACTTTGAGTTCTTCAAAAGAAAAAATGGATATAAATCTAACAAACAAGTAAGTAAATACATAAACTTTATTTCCTGATTATCTGAATGGTTCAAAAATATTGTCTGAGATAAAAAATAATCTGATCTGCCATGATTACACAAAAACTTGGTGAGGTTAATAAACTTTCCATCTGGAGTTGCTGATCCAAATAAATATCCATTTTAAAGCATTATCTAATATCGTAAAATATTGAGGAGTTAATACAAGCATAGTGGAACTGTGAGAGTCAGAGTAGTAAAATATCCTTTCTAAAAAGAATTTCTAGAAGATAGTCTGGAAATGTTTATCTGGTATGTCAACTGATTTTTTGATTGTAGTCAATTAACATGAGAGTTTCAGAGCTCCTTAGATGGACACAAATCTCTATAGCAGAACTTCTTACACACAGAGGCATTTGAGCTGCCCTCCCTCTTCCAGCAGCAGATCTTTCTGCCACTGAGCAAGTGCCTCCGATACCTCTCATATCAGAGTTGAGGTAGAGCAGCACCACATGCAGCATGAGGGTCCATTGCCAGAAGAAAGCATCGCCCCTCAGCTTTGTGCACACGGAAGTGCTTCCTGTTCAATCTGGGGAGAGTGGTACCATAGCCATTATACCAGTCTGTTACTTAGCTACATTATCAAAAATATGCTTAAGGGATAGTCAGTGAATCTTAATCCAAATAAAATAACAGTGTTTAAAGTACATTGATCCATGCCATTGATCAGAAGGTTTAAAAGGGTCTATTTTGATACAATACGAAGCTCTGTTTTTTGCTTTTAGTGTGCTCTTTTTAAAGGACACCAACATTATTGCTATCTAGTGATGACACAGACAAAGTAAATATGAGCAAACGTTTAGGAAAATCAGACGATACCACAGTTGCCATGACTAGAAACCTTAAGCCATTCAGATAATTGTCTCAACTGTGAAATATCCATAAATCATAACTTTATAGATGACTGAAGATGTGCGTAAAAAAGCTTAAGTACATACCAAAATTAGTGAAGAAAAATATTTTACACAAACTTATCTGCATATTCCTCATTGCACAAACTTATCTACGTATTTTCCAACAACAGTAAAAATTTAAGTAAAAGAAAAACTTCTAAACCAACTTATTAATATAGGGAAAACCCTATAGGTTTTTGATATTTGATACTTTTATCTTTAAACTCAAAAGGTTAAAAGTGACATTGCCTTGCTACATTTTACTCATGAATGAAGGTGAAATCTGCTATTTTATGAAGCCAGTTCACACATCTCACAAAGACAGTGATAATGTTTTCTACCAGCCTTCCTGAATTTGGTGTGTTCCAGAAGTCTTTCATTACAATTCCCATAATCTGCAACTGCAGAATCATTACTGGCTGGGAATGATGGGAAAGATGGTCTAACACATATGGATGATAGTAGGTTGGGGAAAACTATCCTATAATAAAGATGTCGCCATGGCACAGCTTCATATACTATGCCTGTAGGGTGGATTCATCTATCCACAATTACTATCATGACATGCTGAATGCTAATAGGCACTTGGCTTGCCACAACTTGTATTGTGTGAACCAAGGTGTCAGGGTTGTTTGAGGGTCAGACAATTCTCCAATAAACGTAAAACAAGCCATGAACTTTAGAGGGTTGTTTAATCCTCAAACAACCTCTGCAGCCTGGGTTCACACAACACAACAAGCCACAGCAAGCCAGACATCTATGGATGCAACTAGTAAAATACAGGTGCTCACACAGGAAATCAAGCCACAGTGGCTGTTTTAGCATACAAGCCAAGTCACTGTCTTGACTAAAGAAGCTACAAAATCATAGCTACTTCACTTCGTAAGCATAACATACATTTAAAAAAGGATTTCCTATCATCATGCAGCCTCAAAACTAACAGTGTATTGCTAAATGCTTTTGGTTGAAATAAGTTTCATTGACTACTATTTTTGGTTTCTTTTAAAGTGACATTTCTCAACTGCTTCAGGCATATGCTGGCTATAGATGAGTGTCCATTAGTAACAAATAAGCTTTCTGAAAGATGCTAATTTTTAAGGACCAAACTTTCTCCCCACAAGTCTGCTACAAGTAACAAAGAGCCATGTAAATAAAAACAATAATAGGTTTAGGAGCTGGCTACAACAGTGGCTTTGTCTTAGCTGAAAGCCCTTCTACTCATTCAAGTTGGTCACTTGATCTTCTTCAACTCCTGATTACTGCCAGTTAAAAGGATCTCCGATAGCAGGTGCTTGAACTGATCCCTGAGACCTCAAAGAGCCACTGATAATCACAGAAGATAATACTGGGCTTGATGGACTAATGTTTTCATTCTTTATAAGGCAGTTTCTTAAGTTTGTTCGCTCTCTCAACTGTCCAAGAAAGCTTTCCCTATACATGCAACTGCTTCGGAAGGGTTGAGTTGAATGTAGATTCTGTCTGCAAGCTAGGTTTTCCTCAGTCTCTCTGGAGAGAGAGAGGTAGAAAAAAAGAAACTTGCTTTTGGAAATCAATGTCCTCTTGTTTTTCCTAATCCAACATCTTTCTGGGAGTTTGAATTTTCTTCTCTCCCTACCTACACAGCTGCTTCAGATATGAGGTTCTCCTTTTCCTTTGTTCCAAATGTCAAAATCTCAGATTAACCAGTCAGCTAAGCCTCTGCATGAATCCCAATCTTACTTCTTTCAGAACAATCTAGTCACACCTCTATTTTCAAGTATTCATGCCCAGAACACACCATATCACAGCAGCTCCTGCAAATGAAAAATCAAATGTCATACTGGAGTAGAACCATTTTCCAATGAGCTAGTTTTCATCACTTGGGGAAGATTCAAAAGTAGTATTCCCCATATGTAATTTAAAGGGACACAGACCTTCCTACAAAGTCATTCTGTTGTATATGAAGATTTCAATGCATTCTCAGGATTACTTTCCTCCTAACTCAACCGTCCTTGCTGCTTCATATCTCCAGATAATAATCAGCTACCACCTGGCATTCCATTCCACCTGGCATTTCCCTTTCATTGTCTCAAGCACCACACAAAATCAACAGGCTAGCCATGGGTGAGTGAGTATAAATGCATAATCAGAGAATATCAGAATATGTACCTTGAAAAAGGCACCAAGTTGCAGCAATTCTTAATGTAGACAAGGAAGGGTATGAGAACTAAACTGATTACTGTGTCAAGCTTAGTTTCTGCCACTTCCAAATGTGGCCAAACAAGGGACAACATGGAAATTTAATTGTCTATTTTGTGGTAGAGTGCAGCATAGGATTATTCTTTGGAATGAATCTTAAAAGTTTTCCTACCTTAGTCTTCAACACAGCACCATTTACAGATTGTGTACAACACCATATCACAAGACATGAAAACAAGCTCTACCAGAGAAAGTGGAGCACAAAGCCTAGTGATTTTTATTGTTAAACTACTCCTAATGATTGGATAGAATGGCTTCAACAAAATAAAGCTTAAATTCTACAGAATTCAGTTACATTACTCTGAAGAAATAACCAAAGAGACTAATACCTAGAACAAGACCACTGCAATAACCTGAAGCAAAGGAAGACTTGATTTTAAAACAGGAAACAAATACTCCTGAATGTGGATTTTTTTAAACTCAAAATTAAAGCTTGAAGTAAAATGTTTTAAACAAAAAGCGGTGTTGGTAAGGTTACACTCATTTTATACCACCTTTCTCAAAAGTTGTGTTAACACAAATTCATGTTGCAGTAAGGCAGGAAAGGTTCTTTAAAAACAGCTGGTGATGTTGAACAGGTTAAGTAGTAAACTTCATTTTTTAAAAATCTTAAGATTTGCAAGTGAGTTTGTTCACAGGAGGCAATCCTGAAATAGCTGTTCTCATGACTTTACACCAAACAAGTTGAGGCACAGTGAGGTTGCTTTCAATTGTCTGAAATTAAAACTGCAATTGTTGCCCCAGATGGACCTGAAAACAAGTGGTATGATCTAGCTCTTGGCATTTGATTAGAAGGAGCTGCAAAGTGCTCTATGACTCTTCCTTAGTTACAAGTACAGTTAAAAAACTTGGAAAAAACCAAGAGTCCAACACTTTCCTCACAAAAATTACTTTCTACTTCATTTATCATTGTTAACTATGGCATAGGGTGCTAGCACCATGGTTAACCTTAACCAAGGTGCTTTTTTTAATAGCCAGGATTTTAATCCTAGTAATCTAGAACAGATGTTAACCTACAAGGAAAGGAAGGGAAAAGGTCAGAAGGAGAGAATGTACGGGTTCTGGTTCATTCTGGTTTCTTAACCAGGGTTAGGTCACAGTGAGGCATGTTGTGAACCTGCTGAGTTTAACAGGGTTGGTGGGGTTGTTGTTTTTTCCACCATGTATCTCAAAGCATCCTTAGACTACATATACGAAAACAACTTGCGATTGCTTGCATGTTCTATACTTACAGGCAGGTGAGTAAAAACCTGAAAGGTACTTCTTAAGAAGTTAATCAAGTCCATCAAATAGCCACTGGCTCTTCCATCGGGCTCAGTCATTGTCCAATCATAGTCAGCAAGTTGGATAAATTCATCAATCTTTTGGTTAAGTTTGGTATAAATCTCCCCTTCAGCAGCATGTCTTGCATCCTGAAAAATATATACAGAGTATGCTTAACCTCAAATTTTGTTAGCACAGAAATAATTCCTTAAAATGTGGTGCAGTAAGAGGCCAACAAAAGAGAAGACAAAGATATAGAAAAATAGACAAGAACTACAATGGAAACTGTTGGAAATGTAATAAAATAGATGGGATTTTCTACCTTATGTGGTGGACTTGTGAATAATTAAAAGATTTTGGATGTTGAAACATGCAGAAATAGAAAAAACTTTTAAAACTATGTTTCCTATGCATCATAACAATATACTTTTGAAAATAATGCCAGAGACTCTTTAAAAGAACATGTCAGATTTATTCAAATATATGACAACTGCAACAAGAATTATAATTGCTTGTAAATGACAGTTATTCTTTTTTAAAGCTTCAATAGAGTATCGATTGACAAAAAGATAAGAAAATGGTCTCTTTGGAAATTTGCAGATTATGAATGTATTGGCTATATTGATAAAAATCCCTTGGCAATTTTGTTTCACTTCTTTTTTTATACCTTTTTTCCTTTTTGTACCTTATTTTAAGAAAACATTTCAAATTATATTACAAAGAGAAGAGACAAATTTAATTGCTATTTAAATACAAATCAAAATATATAGTTGAAAAAATAATTAGCAATATCAGAGTAATCAGTAACTTGTCACAAAATGATATTGATGCTTTATTTGTTTGCTTTGTCTTTGAAATTATGAAAGCAGAAAATAATTATATTATAAATATTCTGAAAAAATAAAGACTTAGACTTTAACTGTTTTAGAAATATGTCAAGTGAGTAAAAACAGAATAGTTTTCTGCATAAGACAACATCATTAAAAAAAACAGAATAGCAAGAGAGAATTCTGTTATTTTAAAGGTAAGGACAGTACAATCCTTTATTTAGAAATAATTCCTATAACTACAATGGGGCTTACTCTCATGTAAGTGCATATCAGATTTCATCTGGAGTCAGATTGGTATAATTTGCCTCCATGAGATGCAGTTACAAAAGCAGAACATACTGAGCTGCAGGAAGGCTAGGTTGATGATATGTATTCAGGTTTCCATAAAAAGGTACATAAGGATTAATAAAAAAAGGATTTTCCATCACAAGTGAAGCGTATGCACTAGTGGGATTCTCTAGGGTAAAAATAATAAGTGTAAGTAATATAGAGAGCTGTAGGAAGAAAGAATCTACAAAGGGTATGCCCTTATAATCTGACTGGCTTTGTTCGCAATTAATTTTGGATTTTTTTCTCCAGGAGCTTAGATACCACAAATGACAGTCACAGCATGACTCAACTGAAAATTAGATATAGAGCCCAGTACAGAGGGCCTCATAAATATTTCTGTTTAAACCCAGAACAAAACAAAACTAAGCCAATATAGAGAAATCTGATTAGTATTTTCCTTATTACACTGTATTCAAGAAGCTGCATACATATAAGTATCAAATCCTTAAATAACAAAGTAAGAATAACTAAATTGGTTTTTATTAGAAGAGAAGCAATCCATTGCTAATAATGGTTTCATCTGCAAAAGTTGTTCCTTACTTTCATCAAAAGAACATTTGGGCTTCTGTCACTACAGTTCCACTGAACCAAATACTACAACAGGATAGCACAGCCCCTAGAACAGCCTTTTCCTGCTGGGTGCCCCCAGATAAGTCAGACTAAAATTCGCATCGTTGCCAGCAAGCATTCCATTCTATACTGTTTGCAGATGATGGGAGTTTAATTCCAACCTAGCTGGAAGGTGTTATGTTGAGGGAAAGCTGAATTAGACCAATTCTTTACAAAACAACCAGCCAGAACTGTTACATATCAGACCTTGAATAGGTAAGGTCAAGGATAAACAGAACTGTTGACAGGTTCAGTAATCCCACCACCTGCTTTTCATGAGTAAAAGTAATCCATGCCTTTGGCTTCCTTTGACAGTTGACTTTTGATGACTGTTAAGAGGGATGAAAACTCCTATTTAGAACCCCCATAGGGCAACGCCCAGGGTTGATATCCACTGTACTGTGACAGCAGGTAATCCCCAGAGTATTGACTCAGCCAAGGATGCATTCCTCCACAGTTGTGCAATATAACAGGAAGAGGAAGAGGGGAGGGGCAAAAGGAAAAATTTAAAAAATGCTTTTGCCACTCTTGCCAAAGGAGTCACTGGCTGGTTCCCTATACCCATAATAGGTCAGTAACTCAGCTTCAGAAAACATGACAAACGATTATACGTACAACAAACCCTAAAATAAGCTATAGGTGTCAGGGTAACTTGTGGGAATCCAGGTTTGCATGGCACATTAACCCATTCCAGGCTGTAATGTTGTGCAAGTCATAGCCTATACAGGCTGCTTCATGTGTTGCAATGAAGCTAATTTTGTTTTATCACCACACACACAAAGATTAGAAAACCATATAGCCAATCCTATGCAAGGCCCAGCACATATACTTCTTTATACACAAAGAAATTAGTGCCCATCTTTTATGTACACAACATGATTTGTACATACACATTAAAAATGTGAGGTATACACTAGCATTTAAGGCAGGGGTCTCAAACTCGCGGCCCGCGGGCCAATTGCCGGGACGGGTGGGGCACGGGGGAGGGGCCCTGCGGCCTTCAAAGCACCAGCAGCACCCGGGCCGGCGGCGGGATGAGCGGCCCACCCCCACCACGGTGGTGGAATACTTGATGCAGCCCAGCCTCACCCAGACTCTACTTCCAGCGGCCCCCAGGTAAGTTGAGTTTGAGACCCCTGATTTAAGGTATTGCGTAAGTATAGTACTGGAAAGCAATTTATTTTTTTGCTGAAAGAGTGGTGAAGGTGATTGTGATGAACAAATTTTTCAGGAGAAGAGAGATAGAACAAATGTGCTATGCCCATATCTGATTGCCACAAGCAACACAGCACTGGCATTTCAGCTTGCATTGGTCTCTTTCATGTCTGTTCTGCAGCTATGGACCATCTGTGGAACCAGAGATGGTAATGCACAGTCTTCTCAGTCCAGGTGTCATGCAGCAACTGGTCCCTGCTTGTTTGTGGGCCTTGTAGTTTAGGTCCAAAGGGCCAAACATGCTTGTGGAAACTCATAGCCAACCAAGCTGTACCAACCTGATGCTAAACTTATCAATTCTGCCCAGTACAAGGAACTCTAAAAACTGAATTTTCTCTTGTCCTGTGACTCACTGTCTTCAGCATTTCTATGACATGCCTTTAAGCAGACTGAGTCATCCTAAATTTTACATACATTTTTGCAAAATCAGCAAAGTAAATACTATTCATAAAATACTGTTTCATATTTCAATATACTCTATTAAGATATTGGCATAAATGCCAATTGCAGCAAATTCAGTAGGCAGATCTGGCACATGAGAAAAACTGCCATCAGTACACATGCACCTTTGATTGTATCATTCCTATTTGCCCAAGTTCTACAATTCACAGTGGCCTAAATAATCAATGTTCCCAAGTTTGCAAGTACAGGAGCACAGTGTTAAATCTGTGAAATACTCCTTTATCTATCCTATGTCCTCCTTTAACTCTGACGGGAGAGATTAATGTTGGAATTAGATGGGTTTAGATTTGGTTATAAAATAAAAATACTAAAGAAAGAACTAGGTTTCGTATAGATTATCCTGTTTAGTTCGATTGTCTATGAAATCCTGTCCTGTATGGGTGTATATGCAGCAAGGTAATTATTTGAAACTCTCTATATATCCATTATGGTACTGACTGATGTGTTGTTTAGCATGTTTTCCTACTTGTTACAAAATATTTAAAACTTGTAAGAATAAATAAATTCTGATGCAGGTTACATTTTCATTGTCATCATTGCATGAAAGTTATTTAAAATATTAAGATTTCTTTGCTTCTTGGAAATAGAATTGCTAGGATCCAAAGGACCATAAAATTAATCCCATGAGACTGAAAGGTACGTATTTTATTCAACCTAAGTTTTTATTCAAACAGGTCCCTGTACTACATGCAAACTATTTTTGAAATGCTGCAAGGCAGGCAATGCCAACACACTAATTCTAGTCAGGCCTTACACTGGCTTGAAGACTATAATCAAGCAACCCAATTTAAAAACAACAAAAATGTTATTGCATATTCTTTTATTTGGAAACCACATTTGTACCGAAAAAGAATCTTAAATAATCACTAACATGTATGTTGAAGTTTGAGAAAGGAGTGGGTGTAACTAAGACTCTGGACACAAACATGGTACAGTTTTGCCTCTTAGGGAAGAAGCAATACGACCCCCTCAGTACCTATGTGGTACACAGCTCACCATGGATTTACTGTAATGCAATTATGTCATTTCAATTAAATTAGGACAACATTCTAAACATGACATCTATACAATAACAATAACGAACTCATCACACATTTAAGTTCATCTACCTTACTGCTAACGTAATATGCCCAATATTCTTTTCCATATAGTTTGTTTTCCTTGTTTGAAAATTGTCTCCATAAACACTGAATAGCATTTTATGTTGTTGTAGTGCAGTTACCTGATATATTCAGAACTTTCATCCCAAGACAGAAAATGAAAGCAAGATATAAAGAGAGAAGGACTGGGTTCCCTAGACTGAGCCCTGTGTATTTAAAAAAAAAAGAAAAAACATCTCACATACCTTAAATGTTGAAAGACCATAGAGTCGTGCTGTGTGAAGAGTCTCTTGGGAGATATTTGTAATATTAGTTATAAAGTCCTCAAGATATTTACATGCTTGTTCCAAATGTGTTGTGTTTATGATAATTTGCACTAGCTTTAAATACAAGAAAAACAGGAACAAATTCTGATGAAATGTTTTTATAATATATAAGTGAATTTTATTTTATTGTATTGCATAGAATACACGAGTCTATCAAAGAAAAATGATTCATAATATGCTTATTAGCAATACTAACATATGCAAAAGCTATGTAGTTTAACAGATGACTACAATGATCAGGTGTGCATGATCACAGTAGGGGAATGAAACCACAAGAGCATATTTTCCCTGGCACACATGCCAGATGTGTGCTGGGGTGTTGGTACAATTACTCTTGCTGATGCATCTCACCATGTCATATGTGCTTAGTAAGGGGGGGCTTGTTGCTGCGTTTAACAGGTCACTAAAACCAATGAGCTGTTGCAGGGTGCTGGGGTAGCAACAAACTACCCTTGTCAGGTTCACACAACATTGCAAAGTGTGCTGGTCAGAGCTGGGGTGGCGGTAACTTACTGGCCCTGTTAAAGCTTGCACTACAGAACATAACTATCTATTTACTGAATGTGAGAGCCACCCATTAGTATTCCAGTCTCTGGGCAGCCATTACCGTAGAACATAGCCCAAATACCCCGTGTAGCTACACCTCATAGGGAAGCAAGTGTAATGATGGTGGGCACATCTCCTTTCAGAAAAGTTTGTCCATCATTCCTGACCTTTTCATTGAGAAACTTCTGGAGGAACGGAATGGTTCAGAGAAACTTAGCCTAAAAACCTGGGAACTCCACACAAGAGCATACAAAACACAGAACATTTCTAAACTTACCTCCGTCAAACCCATGTGAGGCTTTTTGATGAGATTTTGTAAACAACTGCTTAAAGTTCTAGTCAGCAGCAAATTTGTAGCTTTTCTAAGCATATCATCTATCTCGGTTGAACTGAAAAATAAAGTTTAAAATACCCTGAAAACAAATATTAATTCAACTAGTATTAAATAACTGTGCAACCTTTGATTCTTCCTGCTTCCTTTCAAAGATACTCCCCATGGTACTTTTTATATTAATCTTCATCTTCAGCTGTATGTTATAGTCACAGCAGAAGAATTATATGTTTGCCAACTTTATTAGAGAAAACGCACACTGAGTACATTCCAGAAGCCTGTCAAGCAACTGCATATCTTTATTGTGACACAAGAACACACACAGCCCTCACTATATGATATGCATTGGACACCATGGTGCAAAGTAGGGGTGCAGAAACCCAGGCCCAGGAGCCAAATCTAGCCCTCTAGGGTTCCCCAGATAGGTATTTCCTTCACCCAGTCTCACCCCTTCCCCCAAACATGAATCATTGTACAGATCCGTGGCACCTTCCGAAAGACTGAAATGCCTTTCCTACCACTTAATTCCTGGTAGTAAGGGTTTTAAGCAAAGGTATTGCTGAATGTGACCTCTGAGAATTTCTCAAAAACAGAAATCATCCCTTAGCATGAAAGAGGCTCAATGCCCATGAAGCTCCCAGAATGGTTTATAGCAGCCTTTCTCAACCAGGGTTCCCTGGAGCCTTAGGGTTGTGGAAAATGTCACTGTGGGATCTATTAGAGATATGTGTGTGTGTGTAACAGAAACTCACACACATACACACAAGCTATGTGCCAGGGGATCCAGGAAGAATCCCTACCCAGGACAGAAGGAGTCAGTTTGAAGCGCTTCAGTGTCAGGCTCATGGGGAGTGGTATGGCAGTGATTCCATGTGCCTTTGGCATTAAATGCCCAGCCTCCATTCATTACACACACCCTCTATGCTTTACAGACAGGTGCTGAGATGAAGGAGTAAGAAACAGGCCCCAGTTGGTGAGCAGCAGGACAGTGGTGGGCCCAGTGAAGCCTCCATGGGCCGAGACTGTCTATCTTAGTGCCACAAAGAAGAGGAAGAGACTGCTCTCCCCTCATGCCCACAGGCAGATTAGGTTGGCCTAGAGGACCTTTCCCCTCTTAATCTGCAAAACAGTTCTTATGGGAAGGGTGAAAGGGTGGTATGTCACTTTAATAAATAAAAATAATATAAATAAAACTAGTTTTGTGCTAATTCTAAGTGCATGGGCATAGTTTGGTCTGAGGGATTTATAACAGTATTTATTATAAGCATAACAATTTAATAATAATTCATAATAATTTTTATGTAGGGGTTCCTTGAAACACAAAAAATAATTTAAGGGTTCTTCCAAGGTAAAAAGGTTGAGAAAGGTTAGTTTTTAATCAAGGCAGGAGTCTTTTAGCACAATTCCATTGTCAAACAGCAGTATGAAATAGACTGTGTTGAAAATAAAAATATAACTCTTGATCCTGGGAGTAAGCTGGATCTTGTTTAACTTAAGGCATCATATTAGAGGTCTGATTTAGAGATAATCTGCAGTTTGCAGTAAGGTAGGCTTCATGAGTTAATATGCAATAGAACTTAATTTCAATATAATTGCTAGAGTTTACCATTGCCTAGTGATAAAAGGACTGGATCAAATATATTGTATAAATTCTAAGTGGAATATCCCATCCTTCTATCATTTAAATGTGCACCAAGTAAACTATAACCCTATTAGGGTCCAGTTTACAAGCATTTAACTAAGATCCAGGTTTTCAAAGGTGCTGTCAAAGTGTATTTGCCATTTCAGATCCTTTGCCTTAACATCTTGGCCTTCTGAGAAATAGCAAGCCATAAGATAGGAAGATGGCCTGACCATCTAACCCAATATTGACTACTCAGACTGGCAGTGGTTCTTCAGGATCTCAGGCAGGTCATTCGCAACGCTCATAAACAGATTATTTACTGGAGATGCCAAGGACTGAAACCAAATCTTCTGCATGCAAGGAAAGTGATCTACTAGTGACCTACAGCTCTTTCCCAGGCTACCTCTTTTCCATGTTTGTGTTTGATTTGCAGGTAGTACCTTTTCAGGTTTCAGAATTGTACAATGCAGTCTTGACAGTTATGAAGGGAATTGTTTTTTTAGTACGTTCTCTAACAATTCATTATCTTCATTGTTATCACCAGATGACCATTTCTATACAGGTGAAATTTATGACATTTTGCCACAATGTATTTTTTTTAATGGGAAACTTTCAAGAATGCAAATTCCCCTGCCAAAGCTATTTAATAGGATTTGTTTGATAAGTGCAGGAGGTTTCAATACAGCATACACAATATGATGCAAATTTAGCAGAAGTAATAGCTGAACAGTATTGCAGACAGTGAAGTAGATACACCCTGGATTATTATTTTTTTTTCTTGGTTCAACTGCTGGGTGACTAAAGCAGAATTCCTTGGCTGCAGATAGTTGTGGTTGTCTGTCTGTCACTCCTTGCTGACTAGCTGTTAACTTAGATTCCTAGGGTGACATCTAGGACAGAAAGTATTCCACTGCTTGTGTGAATGGTACTAAGTGGGTGGATTAGCATAATTCACACATTACACTATCCAACCCTGGCAGAAAGTGAACACTCCTATAGATCATTAGTTTGACAACCAGTTTTCATTATCTCTGGTTTGACAGCCCCTTCAAAGTGCCCAAACAGCACACCAGAGGAGCTGACAGTGGTTGGCAAACTGTTTTAAACTGCACCCACAATGGGTGCATTTTCTTTTCTTTTTAGAAATATATTCTAGTCACATTTATGCAATTGTAGAGGTGCACAGTTCTGCAAGTGTGAAAATTGGAAATAGGCTTTCTGTTGTGCACGTTGCCTCAAAACACATGAGAACATTTGTATACATTCAATCGCTATTTAAAAAATACTTTTCTAAGCACTGACAGCTCTTCCAATGCACTATTTGGGCATTCTAAAGGAACTATCATTGGTTGTCAAGCCACAGATGGTGAAAACTGGCTGTCAAGGCAGAGATTATGAACTCCAGTGGGAAAAAAAGTTAAAGAGCAAAAAAGCTACAGCCAGACCAAAAAGGGCTTGCAATCACAGCAGGACACATTCAACCAAAGCCCTATACAATTGCTGCTTGGCCCCTTGTGAGACAGCTAGGAGACAGTGACCCCAGTGAGCTTGGCAAGAGAAGGGAGTTTCACACTCCCTAGCTATTACCCAAAACGTGAAACAGAGTTAGTCAACTGAGTTCAGATGACACAACTCATTGTGGGCATAATAACCCAGAAAACCACATGCCACCTTGTAAGAAATTGTCTGAGTTCACATGGCACAATAACCCAGAGTGGCTTGTCACTTACAATGGATTGTCATGTCATGCAAACCCAGTCACCACAGGCACTGGGCACTCTAAGGTAGCCCCCATGCCCTAGAAGGTTGGGGACAACTGGTATAAAAGTATTTGTAACATTTGGGAATAACACTGCTTAACAACATTAAATTAATTAATGACTATAACAATGCTACAATTATCTTAATTCTTCTGAAGGCAAGCTGATCATAATTATATGTGAAATTCAAAAGTTACACACAAAGTTTCACATCTGCATATTGTTACTTTCAATTAGTTTGCATTTTCTTTCCTTTTCTAAATAACCAAACAAGGGACTGGGCTACAGAGGAGAAGGCCTCCGTTAATGTTTTGCAAGCAATTTGACAAAATATGCTATGTTCAATTGTGTAACTTGGACTGCATTTGTTAAACAGTGTAATTGGGAAAGAGTAATCTGCATGATTAAATAGTTCCTGTTTTGAAATGAAGACTAAGAAGCTTTATTAGTTTGGTATGAGTGAAGGGAGAGTAATTTACAGTTGTCAAGAGTGTGCACAGCTTGATGACAGATCTGTAAATAGCTTCCAGATTTCAGCAAACAAAACAGAACTACACCTTTCATCCAAATAAAGTCAAGTAATTTTTCTGAGAGGCTAAAAATGAAGCCTTTTAAAAGCTTGTTTGCCACTTTCTTTGTATTTGCCCATCCATTAGAAATTGATTTCCCTGTATTTTGAACAGCTTTAAAAACAAAATGTGGAGGAGTAGGGCAGGGAAGATGTGGTGCTGAACCAAGACAAAAACTAGCAATAAACCCAAGACTAAATTCATATTTCCACCAATATAAGCAAGAGGAAAAAGGTACACTTTATCTACAAATTGGGAAAAAACTAAGGCAATTTCTAAAACTATAGCTGTAGTAAAATATAAGGGAAGAGAAATATCTGGGATCATACAGATCTAGGTACTATGTGTACAGTTCCATGTTGGGTAGCATTTCATACGAACAGAAAGTTCCACATAAATCTAACTAGTCTGCAGGCACAATTGCAAAGACCTTTCATACTCTACAAGGTCATTCAAGGGGATATGTTGTAAATCCTTTATCTGGTATATGGATGCATGATAATTACATCTTATCACATTCACAATTCATATGAAGCTGCCTTCATACCAGGTCAGACCACAGATCCATCCTTCCATCCATCTGCCACAGGGGTAGAGCTCCCAACTCCTCCACCGCTGCTGAATCTTCCACCACTTGTACTCTCCACTCCATCACCCACAGATCCTCTAGACCAGGATCATTAGGAAACGGGTAGAGAGAAATCTTTCTACTCAGTCCCCCAGAGATTGTCATACAGATCACTGAGAGGTGTGTGCTTATACGAGTACATGCAGCCCTCTGAGTTAAACAGTTGTACACTCCTAATCTATATTGACTGACAAATCTCTTCAAAGTTTCAGAGAGCAGTCATTCTGCACCTAGAGATTCCCCCGATTCAACCAGGGAATTTGCAAAAGCAAAGCATGTGCTCTACTACTAAGAGTTGGTTCGTCATTCTTTGTCTGGATACATAAACAAAATGAATGTATTAAAAGTCATACACACAGAGTTTTTGTAAATTCTTACCTGCGATGAAGGGATTCTGAAAATTTAAGGCTTGCATAAATGAATTCTTTAACCTGGATATAAATCTGAGGCACTGACTGAGACATTGGAAGTTTCTTTGGAAAACACTGCTGTAGTGGGGGAGGGAGAAGAAAAAAAATATCATGCTATAATTCAAGTTAAGCAGGTTATGGGGGGAAGACATGGATCTCACAGGTTAACCTCTATCTGATCAAAACATTATTGTGGTACTGTATTGTATTCTCTCAAAAGAGACAGGCTTTCCATACCTGAAATTCCTCATTTTGTTCAAATATGATACTGTTAAAAGCATGGCTACAGTCAAATGATAACGAAACATGCATCTAGACTGAACTGCAAAAATGCCCAAAGGGGAAAAGATTGGTAAGAGTGCAATCCTATGGACTGCACCCTCCCTACCCAGAAATGTGGAGGCTCTGCCAGCGTGACATTAGCTGAGCAGGAGCAGTGACAGAAGTGATCATCACCTGTCCTCCAATATTCTATATTTTTTATGGCATCTAGCAAGTATACTTTGGAAGAAAAGAGGAAAAGGCTGAGGGTAAATAATATCTTGACCTTCCCCTGAAATTTGTTCATGTTCTTTCTAATTACTGATTCTATGAATAACTTTCTTGGGTAATGAGCAGGACTATATTCCAAAACCTGCAGTTGAGGAATGATGGTTAATTATTACTGTTCTAACACATCAGCATAGTAAGAAGAAATTCATGCATAAAAGGTGATAGGCTAGGAAGAAGGGCACATGATCAGAGTCTTCAGCCAATCCCTCCATTCTTACTTAATGAACATTATGCCTGCAGGGAGCTAAAATGGTACCTACACACTGGAAATACACTGAAATAGATTCTGGTTAGCGGGAAATCTATGGTTTGGTAAGTTATAGCTTGCACTTTCAGACATTATGAGATGGGCCCAGTCCCCTTGATTTGAATGGGTCTGCTCTAACTACGAATAAATCTAGATCCAGCCCACTGGCAACAAACGACACACCAAAAGATTGGAATAACTTCTATTCCTAGTTCTAAATTTGCACTCTTCTGTACATACCCTCTTTTTATTTTTAGCAAAACAAATAAAATAATAATACCTTCACTTTGAACATGAAGGAAGGGGAAACAAAGTACACAAACTATGGTTTGGAAGTTCAGAATGTACCCTAACTCTCCTTAGCTGATTTTGAAACAAATGTGTGTGTTTCTTACCTTGTCATGTTCTGGATCTTGAAAAGGAAATTTGCTAATCACAATTTTATACTCCTCTTCATTTGATACAGGAATCGGACTGTAATTATCGGCTTCAAAAATATCCCTGTGTAATTCAACGAACACATGAAGAACATAAATAATAAAATGCATGGTTACCAGAACAATATATATTGCTAGCACACATAGCCTGGTGACTTAAACTGCTGCTAATTGCTAGAGATAAGAGATACAGATACAGAGAAACAAAAACCCAGTTCTATCACAAAAACAATTGACCGATAGATTGACTGTACAGGAGTGGCATGTGTAGAGGTAGAAAGCCAGTGGTATCTCGGCTCACAAACGCCTCAGTTCACGACCAAATCGGGTCGTGGACAGAAACTTCATAAAAATTTTGCCGCAGGTTGCGAACTCTGCATCGGGTGACGATCATGAGCACGCCCGCCTTCCCTGCACAGGCGCGATCACGGTCATGCTGGGGGGGGGGGGGGAGATGGCCACGACTGTGCCTGTGTTCCCTGCCCAAGCGCACCCACTCCCACCTCTCCCATGTACCTGCCTCCCCCCCGCATGCCCACACCCACCTCCCCCCCCAGTGTGCCTGCAATTGCGCCCATCACCCCCACCCCCCCACACGCTCGCGGGGGGGGGGGGGAGATGGCAGTGATCTTTGTTGTTCTTTGTCACTTTGCTTCAAATTTTTGTGAGTAAAAAAAAATAGTTGCAGAATGGATTGACCTTATTTACATTGACCCTTATGGGAAAATTTGACTTGGCTCATGACCAATTTGGGTCACGACCAGAGTTCTGGAACAGATTAAGTTCATGAGCCAAGGTACCACTGTAGAAACAGAAAACCAACTGCGAATGTTTGTGCATCATGCATTTTGCATGATTTTAATACTGTCGGTTTGAACGATTTTAATTCTTTCTGCAAATCATTAAGTTATACAAAAAAGTAATATAGGGTACTGTAGCCTTGCTCAAATCTTTTAAGACTTTACAAAATATTTCATAGATGTTTTCAGTTGTATTTTTGCAACTGTAACTTTAAAAGTTTAAAAATTGACATCCGAAGGATGTGAATTATGCTCAGTGCAAAATCAAAAGGCAGTGTTTGGTTCACAGAACAGCTGAGGCTCACCACAGCTTATAAATGCCATTGAGGGTTGTGGGACAGGCAGGCAACCATTTTGTGTATTCAACACCCTTGCAAGGATAGAAATACAAAATAGCTGCCCACTTGTGCTACAATCCAACTTGCCATAGCTTGCAATGTAATACAAACTCAGCAGCCAGCAGTTATTTGAGGCTTTAACCCTGCCAGCTACCAGAGCTATGCAACAGTCCCAAAAAGTAAAATAAATCACAGTGGGCTGACATGACATATGAACAGACTCAGAATGTATTCACAGAACACACACATGCATTTTATAAGGCAAGTATTTGAATAAGACATGTATTTTCACAGATTATCCTGTTGATGTAACGGTAGTTAGAAGTTTGTGGCATTCTCTAACTTGCTGCCATTTCAAAATACTAATATTGCTTCAAATATTCCAATATAGAGTCTTTGTGATACTAACCTGAACAAAACAGCCCATTTTTTAAGTAGAGTCTCATTGTACTGGTCTCTTATTTCAAATAAAAGATCAAATAGTCTGTTCACAAGGAAGCCATAGCCCTAAAAATGGTATAATTAAAAATTAAACGTGTTATGACTACATGCAGTATTGCAGTATTTAAATTCCTAATATCACTGGTTTGGTGAATAAACAGCAAAATGCACAACCCCTTTCCCAATTAATGGACAATCAGAGGCACTCTTGCCTCTCTCCCCACCACATCCTTGATGTTTCCCTTGTTTCTTGCCCCTCCTCTCAGCCATCTCTGGTTTGGTTCATACACTGGCAGTGGTATTCTTGTTGTGAAATGAGTGGGCACCACTTTCTTTCAACCATCCTTTGACAGAAGATGTGAGCCCAGAGATCCACTATAATATCTGAATGTATAGAAAAAGGAATTATATTAGTGGGGTCTCCATGTGAGCTGCCACTCTGGTAGAAGAGCACCTGGATCACACATTCATGGAAGGAAGTGGGAGGGAAGAGGCCAGTGCCATTGGCCGCTGCCAACTTATCAACCAGGGTTTCCTCTCCCACCCATCTTTCTCCTCCCATGTAATACATGTGCTGCAATATGCAAGCCCTCCTTGCATCCCCTCCTCTTTTCCAACAAAATATAATAATTATTTTACTTCTTGGTATAAAGATGAAAGTTTCTCATAAGCACCTGTCCCAAACTTCTGCTCTGTAACTCTTTATCATAGAAGAGAATTGATAACTGAGCAATGGATATTCCACATTAATTTGATTAAATAATGTTTCCTGATAGGTTTTAACTTCTACTCACAGTGAAGGATGTGGGGATACAAACTCAAGATTTTTGGAATGCAATATAAGTGATGCAATTACTAATTTAAATATAAACCAATTCAAACCAGTGGTGCTGCCATGCGTGCCTTACAAGGAATACTAGGGCAGCAACCTTATCTCTACCTATCTGGGATTTATTTCCACTAAATATGTATAGACCTATGCTATGAGAAACTTCGTATAGTTTTTCCTAGACTACACAAGGACATTTCGTAAATTCTAAAAACTATAATTCCTGGAGTTCTTTAGAAAAAGCCATGACATTTAAAGGTTTTAAACTAGTTTAACTTGGGGCCTATGGGATCCATCTCATCCAGTGACCATTGTAAATCACTCTAAATTAAACACTCTCTCCCTCAAACAGTTTAATCAAGTAATACATTGTTTTACCTTCTCTGTGAATTTTGTTATAAATAGACCAACACTGCTACCTAGACTTGAATTGCCTCTTCAGTACCCATGCTTTATAATACAAACTTTGTCAAACTTAATTTCTTTCTTATATTCTTGTAACAGTATATTATTATCAAGCGAGAAGAACCTAAGAGCTATATGCTCTATTGTACTTCTATTTAAAGTACCACATTTGGGCCAATAGCTTTAATAAAATAATAAATCAGAAAACTAGTGTTTTGATGATGAAAAGGAGTACAGGCCTAGATGTTTCATGTATGATATCGGCTCATTTCACATATTACTCAGTTTCCATTGAGCGGTACATTCAATGGGTAAATGAATCATACCTCTTTAATAAATTACATCAAATATGTTAACTGCAAATACACATTTGTAGCACTTTACAAATTTTAAGCAAACATTAAGAAAACTTAGTGTGCACTTGTCCTTGAGATAGGCATCTTCTAAGTTTTGGTCTTGAGATGGAAATTTGAACCCACTGAAATAAGCTAAGCCAGGGGAGAGTTGCAAGTGGACATTTAAAGGCATACCTGATACAGGGTATTTTAATTCAGTTGCTAACACATCACCAACCTGCAAGGTATCTGCAAACACAACAATCAGATTCTTCAGCTCCAGAACAAGATCAGGATCAGTGCAATAGGACTGAAAATTAAAATCACACGTTGTGTTTTAAGGTTTTTTTAACTGGTACTAATTTTACTTTCAGATCCAGTAAAGATATTCAGTTGATGTTTGGCAAGCAATTTTGACAATGGAATGTTGTTCTGTGGAGATACTCAATCCCATTAACATGGTTTTCTAATAAAACTTACACCCTTCTCCATCTTTCCCTGTGTGCAGGAACTTAGAAGAAGAGAGAAAGAGAGAAGATAAAAGATTTTAAATTGCATGCTTGGAAGAGCTATCTGGGCACTACTCTGGCGTCTCACTTCTACGTCCAAAATGCACATGAAGGAGAAGAACAATCTCTTTGCCTTCATGTCCTTTCCTGTCTCAACATCTGCAAAAGAGCCGCAGGGTTATAAAGAAGCACATAGCAAGTCTGGGCTGGATCTGATCAAAGGCCTATCTAGCCCAACATTCTGTTCACACAGTCACCAACCAGATGTTTGGAAGCCTGCAATTAGGACATGAGGAAAACAAAATCCTCCCACTAATGTTCCCTACAAGTGGTACTGAGAAGTACAATAATATTGGAGATGATCTATATGCATTGTGACTAGAAGACATTGGAAGCCTAATCCTCCATGATTTTTTTAAAGCCACTTTTTTAAAGAGTTGGGTGACATGCCATCACTATTCCTCCTACAGTGAAACAGGATAAGAAAAGGGGATGCAGTCTCATAGCCCACTCTAAATCTCTACATTCTGGTTTCTGCTGCAAATATGATCTACTCGAAGTTCAAATTTAAAACAGTAGAAGATAAGGAAACTATTTTTTCCAAGTGTTTAAAACCATCTATAACACAGGAGGGCATGAACTATTAAAATGCCGCTTTTAAAATAGCTATAGATGGGTGCGAAAATTATTATGAATCACAATGCATAACGTGCCAGGTTTTTAAGTTCAAAACAAGTTGCCACAATAAAAATCTATCAGCAACAAGTAGTCCTAACCATTCCATTCTTTTAAAAGTAAATATCCATTAAGCAAATTATTTAATTAATTTCTGTACCACCCAATAGCTGAAGCTCGCTCTATTAAGAGAGTAAATATAGTTGAGACTAAATTAACAACAAAGTACCAGTTTCCAGTAGCTGGAAATAGATCTATTGCCACATAGACATAATGCTTTGGAAGAACCAAAGGGCAGCTGTAAGGGTCTTGCTGGAGAAGTTTATTTTGGAAACAAGGTTTTTGGAATGATAATTAAGAACTATTTCCTGGTACTGCTTACAGTGTTAAACTAATTCAATCTTATCTAATGAAGAGGTCAGTTGAAACTAATTAGGATGGATTGCAATAATAACAGCAGATTAACTCTGCATATTCTAAACTGCTGGACTAAGGGCACAGTTTGGAAGACCCAAGGAGTTGTAAATCCAAGAAGGATTATGCAGATAGCCCATGGCTGTGACTCACAGCCTGATACTGCTGGGGCAAACAAAAGCCTGGCAGGCTCTCCCCCAAATCAGAGCAATTTTTAATTACAAAAAACCTCACAAAGATAGATCTGGGGGGTTTTTTCACTTTGACATTATCCTTCTTCTAAACACACTGAAAAGTTCCTTTAGCAAATGAACTTAAAGGACATCGTCACAATGCTTGCTCACTTACTGAATGAGTTCTAAGGACAGCAATAATCTTTGAAAGTGCCATGTTCCAAAGTTCATCAGTGTAAGCTCTTGTAATCAGTCCTTGGGTTACATGTAAAATGTGATCTTCCACTACAAAAAAACTAAACACAAACATAATAGTTGATAGTGGAATAACAACCTTTCTTTTCAGCTGTAACTTTTAAATTGTGATAAATAGTAATACAGCTCAAATTTCTTCCTTTTTCACACACAGGCTTAGATTAAATTAGCTTAAATTGTTGTTGTTTAGCGAAGTTGCGTCTGACCCATCGCTACCCCATGGACAACATTTCTCCATGCTCTCCTGTCTTCCACCGTCCCCAGGAGTCTACTTAAGCTTACACCGACTGCTTCAGTGACTCCATCTAGCCACCTCATTCTCTGCCGTCCCCTTCTTCTTTTGCCATCTATTGTTCCCAGCATTAGGCTCTTCTCCAGGGAGTCCTTCCTTCACGTTAGGTGGCCAAAGTATTTGAGTTTCATCTTCAGCATCTGGCCTTCTAAAGAGCAGTCAGGGTTGATCACCTCTAAGACTGACTGGTTTTATCTCCTTGCAGTCCAAGGGACTCACAGGAGTCTTCCCCAGCATAGATTAAATTAGCTTTGCTTATAAAGCTAATGCACTGAAATATAGCCAGGAGGATCAGAGTATTTTCCCTGATTTTATGGGGTTTTCTTCTAGAGGGATTTCGTAAGCAGCACATAGAGAAATTACCCTTCGTCATTTACCTAGAAAGAAGTATCTTATTTGCACTGCGAGTCATGTTGCGACTTTCTCTAAACAAACTGGTGGAGAGTCTCACACTGTGTGGTGTGTAATGAACATATATATTAAAAAGCTTTCCTAAATACTACAGTTTATTTCAGTGCAACAGTATTCAAGGTGTATGTAACTCAAATTGGTCTGCATAAAATTGCTTTTTACTTGTATGCTACTTGCTCTTGCTATCCCACAGCTTTGCTTTGCTTTTTAGAATGTCAGGCGTCCATTCCACTGCTGCAACATGGGTGTTCTGCCATATTGTAGTGACAATAGTGGCAATCCTGGCAGAGCCAGGGAAGAGAACCACACTAAAGCAAGAGTACTGGAGACCCCAAGGATTTGCATTCAAGGAAGCTTAAATCATTATGGAATGAGTGTGGAAAGGAGTGAAAATTATTGTCCCAGCCCTGTTCTCCAGGATATCCTGCAATATCTGAAGTTGTCCTTAAAAAAACAGCAACAGACAAGCAAGCACAAATGCAGTCAACACTCCTCTAAATCAACACTGCACATGTTGAAAGTAAAAGCTACCACAGGAAAAGCTTTGGAGCTATCTCAGTTGCATATTTTGAAACTTACCCTACAATTTGACTGAAGTACCTTCTATAGCCTTCTACTGTTTCATGCTTTAAGGGAAAAAAAATAAACATTTAACAGTGAAGTGTGCTAAACCATGAGCATATAAAACAGATTTTCCCACCACTATTCTTAGATAAGCCAAGTACCATGTTTGACTGTGGCTGTAACACAAGTCTTGCTTGTTTCCGTCTCTGTTTTCTGTAGTAGTTCTCAAATGTCTCTGCATCACCCTATAGAGGAAATACACAAACACTTTCAATACATTTTGCTTTTTCAAGCATGCATGCATACTGATTGTGTATGCAACTTAAGTGCAGATTATTATTCTTTAACTTTCACAGCAGTGAAAGTTACTTTTAAACTTTCCTAATTTGAGGATTAGAAGCAATGGCTTCTATTTTAATTGTGGAATTGCTTTAACCTGAAATATTTATTTATTTATTTATTTATTTATGAGATTTGTATGCCATCCAATTGCCAACGTCTCTGGATGACTAAAAGCATAAATAAATTGATGACCCACTCTGGTTGCAAATACAATTATTAACATTCAATATTAAAACATATTAAAATATTGATTAAATAAAAGGGTCTTAACCTGGTGCCAAAAAAAATATAATGACGGCGCCAGGCGGACCTCTCTAGGGAGCACATTCCATAGATGGGGAGCCACCACAGAGAAGGCCCTCCTCCGGGTACACTGTTTCCTAACATCTTTCACAGAGGGTTCCCGGAGGAGGGCTTCTGCTGCCGATCTCAGGGGGCAGGAGGGCAAATAGGGAAGAAGGATTTCCTTTAGGTATCCTGGTCCCAAGCCGTTTAGGGCTTCATAGGTAATAACCAGCACCTTGAATTGAGCCCGGACTTCGATGGGAAGCCAATGGAGCTGATAGAAGACTGGGGTTATATGAGAATAACGCCCAGTCCCCAACAGCATCCTGGCAGCTCTGTTTTGAACCATCTGAAGTATCCGGACTGTCTTCAAGGGCAGCCCCATGTAAAGCGCATGACAGAAATCCAAAAGAGAAGTAACCAATGCGTGTGTTACTGTTGCTAGGCAATCCTCCTCCAGGTAGGGGCACAGCTGATGGATTAGCCGAAGCTAAAGGAAAGCGCTTCTCGCCACCGCTTTCACTTGGGCTTCCAAGGACAGCTCCGGAACAAGGAGCACTCCCAAGCTGCGGACCCTGCCCTTTAGAGGGAGTGCAACCCCGTCCAGGGCAAGGCCCAAGTCACCTACCCAAGAGCTTGAATCACCAACCAACAGAACCTCCATCTTATCTGGACTGAGCTTCAGTTTATTGGCCCTCATCCAGCCCATTACTTTGGCCAGGCACTGGTTCAGTACAGCCACTGCCTCACCTGGATTAGTTGAAAAAGAGAGGTAGAGCTGGATGTCATCAGCGTACTGATGACTCCACAGCCCAAACCTCCTGATGACCTTTCCCAGTGGTTTCATGTAGATATTAAATAGCAAGAGGGACAAAATGGAACCCTGTGGTACTCCATGGCAAAGTTGCCATGGCACAGAGCCAAAGTCCCCCAGCACCACCTTCTGGAATCGGCCTTCAAGGTAGGAGCAGAACCACTGCCAAGCAGTAGTTCCTACTCCCAATCTCACCAGCCTATCCAGGAGGATGCCATGGTCGATGGTATCGAAAGCCACTGAGAGGTCCAGGAAAACCAACAGGGACACACTCCCCGTCTCTCTCCCTGGACAGGTCATCATACAGGGCGACCAAGGCAGATTCAGTACCGTACCCGGGTCTGAAGCCAGACTGAAATGGGTCCAGATAATCAGTTTCATCCAAGAGTACCTGGAGTTGTCCCGCCACCACCTGTTCCAACACCCATTCCAATATATAATCGCAATGCATTAAAAAACCTTATAGTATAACAAATTCATTTTGATAATACTCCTTTAGAATCATGACTTAATAGTCCCTTTTTTTTCTTCAATACAATTAACTCAGAGAGAACTATATTTCTATTTAAAACCACATGATTGACTCACCAATTTAGTATTGACTCACCAATTTAGTATTAAATAATACAATCAATAATTATTATCAAATAATATACTGAATGCAATGTAACTTCCATGTAAGCATTTAAAAAAAACCCAAAAACCTAAACTGCTCAAGTTTAGCTTTACTACACTTGTGCTTAGCTTACTTATTTACATTTCCACTGATTAGTAAATTCAAACTAAAAAAGCATACCAGGAACTGTAGAAAGGAAATGAAAATATGAGTGATATACCCAATATGTAGATTATTTTGTCAAAATGCAAAGTTAAATGTATATTAAAAATGCAAGCCCTGAAGGCAAAGCTAGCGGTTTACCTCATCCTATCAAGACAATTACAGTACTTTCTATTGTTCCTTTCCATGCCATTCATTTTCAGCCAAAAGTAAGATACTTAATATAATCATGATGCAACAGCACATTAAAATATCACAAATATAGCAGTGCAGCAGCACCTTCCTCAGTCTGGTGACCTCCAGATGTATTGGACAGCAACGCAAGGTTAGCTAGGATATGTTGGTGGCTTGTAACTCAACACATTTAGGGGTCAGGAAATTAGGAAGTATTGATCCAGTAGGGACATAAAAGATCATACTATCAAGAACTTTCGCTTAGCTATCCTTTTAATGAACCACAGTGTTAATGGTTATCACTGGGGCCAAATTAGACATGGTCATAATCAGCAAGCCATTGCATTTAATAGTAAAAAGCTAAATAGGAGTAAAGAGTTATTTATTTTTATTTATTTATTAAAACATTTTTATGTTTTAATTTCCTTTCCTGCCAGGGTCATAGTCTGGGCCACTGTGACTATTTACTTTAGAAAAATCACAACTGCTAATTTCCAACCAGTGAACAGTTTAGTGGAACAAACAGAAACAGTAATATACTATCTTTTAGTTTTTCTAATCTAGTTGCTTTTAGGTACATTTTTTCCTGGTATAAACTTGCATCTGTACTACCCTCATCATGTGAGGCTTTCCTCCAAGTGATTCCATCAAAGGAGGCTTGGAAGATGGCAATCTGTGTACAAAGGGGATGTCCCTGTGTTTTGCAATGGGTTCCTCCTGTCCTCACCAGGGAAATCATAGTGACATGCAAAGAGATCAACTGTGAATGCATACAGAACTTGCCATTCCTTCTCCTGAGCAATCCCATCCTCCTTAGTTCTTAAAAATAGTGAATAATCAGGAATGCTGAACTGTACTACTCCTGAGAAATCCTGCTCTGGATTTTTAGATGCTTTCGGAACTTGTTCCTGCAATGGATTACAGAGGCTGCTTTTCTGTGCCCTATGGTTGTGTGTTTTCTCCCCTCCCATTCATCACCTTAGAGTCACTTTGCTTCTTTGTGGAATGGAAGCTGTTGCTGAAACAGAAGAATGCGGGCCTAAGGAGTATATTTCCTGGCTCCGTGACTTGCACACTTTGTATGTTTTGTACCTCACTTTTATTTTTCAGTTAACAGTCAGTATAGGTTGCTGGCTGTTGAGAATTCAAAAACTGCACCAGCTTGGCCCTGCCTCTTCAGACCTGTTCTCAGTTCCACCACTCTGAATCACCAGCTTTTGCCAGCTCAAGCAATATCCACCAGTAAATCTACTTGGAATTCTCATGTATTTTGATGGACAATATTTGGCACTCCTGTGAATGTTTAATTGTTGTAAGCCGCCCCGAGGCTTCGGCGAATGGGGCGGCATAAAAATATTTTAATAAATAAATAAACAAACAAATCAAATCCCACAATCACCAGCATTCTGCAGCCAGCCATACTGGGAGAATTAGGGAACTGTTGGATTTATTTAACTGTTGGAACTGTCCCAGGATGGTATACAAACAAACAAACAAACATGTGTCTAAATACACATGCCTTTATGTTTTTAACTGTTGTGCTTTTACTCTCCCCCTCACTTAAGGACTCCAATCAGCAACTACCATCCTAATGTCCTCCAGTTCTGTTGGATTATGGAGATTATGGAGTTGTAGTCTAACACATCTAGACTGAGCCGGGTAATGAAAGCCTGACCCAAAGCAATGCAAAAACCACAATCTAATTATTCTTTTGTATATTATCAACAAAGCATTCATTGGGCACACCTAGGTAAACATACTTCAGCAAATGGGGTGGTACATAATACAATAATGTGTCAGTTTATAAAACACTGAAAGTTGGATGCAACAATTCTGTGAATTGAGTTTCATTCACAGGAAACTGGCAGAAGATTTTTTTCTTCTGGATCCCCCTTCTTGCAGCCTTATGTGTCCTTCTGCACCTAAAAATAAAGCTATTCTGGGGTACCTCTGAAGTAATGTGGAATTGGTTAAAACGGTCTTTCCACCCTTTCTCAAGAAGTTTCTAGTAGGTTAAAGGCCTTCGCATTCACAGAATTACTCCTTCTGTGAATGAAAGGGCACCTTAGGATTCGACCTTATGGAGCCAGTGGAACCATACAGATATTGAAGAATCTGAACTAAATACTCTTACCATAAATGATAAAGAAACAGCACATTCACAAGTATTTTAATTTAGAATGCAGCTGGATTTCTGTCAATTATTTTTAGTGGTACCTTGGCTCATGAATGCCTCAATTCATAACCAAATCGGGTCACGAACAGAAATTTCAGGAAAAAAAATTGCCTGAGGTCGCAAACTCCACATCGGGTGATGATTGCGATCATGCCCGTCTTCCCTGCATGAGCGCGACCACAATCATGCTCAGGGTGGGGGAACATGGCCACGATCACAGTTGCACTCGTGCAGGGAAGATGGGTGTGATCATGGTCATGTTCAGGGGGGAGATGGCCACAGTTGTGCTTGGGGGGTTGGGGAGAGATTTGACTTGGCTCACAACCGATTTGGGTCGCAACCAGAGTCATGGAACAGATTAAGTTCATGACCCAAGGTACCAATGTAGTTGGCAACAGTCTTGAGAAATTCAGCATATGAGAGAAGCAAATGAAAAAAGGATTATGTACATACCAAAACTGAATAAATATGCAAACATCTATAAACAGGAGAGAAATCTACCAGATCATGTGCTGTCAGAACCTGTAGGAAGAGGCCAAAAGAACTCTTGTCAGCTATAACAACACTGAACCGGTGTTACAAACTCAAAAAGCTAAACCAGAGAAAAGGCCAGTACTGTCAGTACAAGGCAGACTTGACTGTGATCAATCCCACTGCTGTGGTCATTGCACAATTGATCTGGATTACAAATCTGTTAAATGGACTACAGGGGATGGTGGAGGACAGGAAGGCATGGAGGAGTGCTGTCCATGGGATCGGACACGACTTCGCAACTATCAAGCAAGCAAGCATACAAAGCAGGGGTCTCAAACTCAACTTACCTGGGGGCCGCTGGAAGTAGAGTCTGGGTGAGGCTGGGCCGCATCAAGTATTCCATCACCATGGTGGGGGTGGGCCGCTCATCCCGAGGCCAGCCCGGGCGCCGCCGGTGCTTTGAAGGCTGCAGGGCCCCTCCCCCGTGCCCGCCCGTCCCGGCAATTGGCCCGTGGGCCGCGAGTTTGAGACCCCTGCTTTAATGCCTTTTCCATCTTAATTAAACTAAACACTAAGCACTGTGGCCGTAACTTTTGCAGTTTCACAGAGAGAAGATTCATCATCCTAGCAACCTCAGCATACTATTTTTTGTTTTTTGCTTTCCCTATTAAAGGTTCACCTTTTCAGTTAAAGGAAGCACTTTACTGCTTCTCTTTGGCACATCTGATTTGCCAGCATCACTTCTCTTACACTTTGGGGGCATTATTAAGCAAAATAAGGGTTACTTGAACAAAAGCACTGCGATACCATGAGAGCTGATCTGATAAAATGAGATAGCTACTAAGTGATTAATGGCTGAGTAGTGCATACAGCATGAACACACTGGACAAACAGATGATTGATGTGCCAAGTGGGACCACGTAAGATTTTATTATGTTACTCAGAATGGCACACAATTGAAATTATGGATGTTTACTGTATTTCTGGGTTTTTTTTATTTAATTTTTTCAGATCAGTCAACAGTGGTGAAATGAAACCATGGTAACTGAAACACTGGATCCAGGGTGGGTTACTGTACTGTGGGGTTGCCCTCTGCAGGCTCTGTCTGACTCCTAGAGCATTTAAGCAGGTGCTTACCTGTAACTGATGTTCTTTGAGTGGCCATCTGTGCAGTCACACAGGTACTGCACCTGCACAGTGCCTATGGCCGGGAGATTGATAGCTAATGGTTTGGCGGGAAAACTCCGCTCCCCTCCCCCCTAGCAGTATATATGAGCGGAGTGTCTGCCATTTTCCAGTCTTTGATAGACCGGATGTTCGCTCTCTAGAGAACAAATTGTAACTAAGAAAAGTAACGTTGTCAGTATCGACAAGTAAGGAAATACTGTATAGGTACCGAGGATAAAGAATAATATGGTACCGAAAATAATACCACCCAGTGACACTGAGCGGGGCCGGTGGGTGGGTTGTGTGACTGCACAGAGGCCACTCGAAGAACATCAGTGACAGGTAAGCAACCTGCTTTTCTTCGTCGTGGCCTCTGTGCATCACACATAGGGGTAGATTAGCAAGCTTACCCTGACTGGAGGAGGAGAGGTGTCATCACCGAAGAATAGCTGAAAGAATGGCTCTTCCAAAGGAACAGTCCTGTCTAGCATGGACATCCAGCCGATAATGTTTTGCGAATGTACATGGAGTGGCCCAGGTGGCCGCCCTGCAGACATCGTCAATCGGAACCCCCGACGCAAAGGCTGAAGAAGCAGCTACAGCTCGAGTAGAATGACCCCTTGGGGTTGTAGGTAAGTCTATCTTAGCCAACTAGTAGGACAGAGTAATGGTGCGAACTATCCACTTGAAGAGTCTTTGAGAGGTAACTGGAAAACCTTGGTCCTGCTCAGAGTATTTAACAAAGAGCTTACTGAAACGTCAAATAGATTCAGTCCTTGATCTATAGAAGGCTAAGCAGCGCCGTACGTTAAGCATGTGTAAGGATCTCTAAATCAGATTCGATGGAGATGGAAAAAAGGCAGGTAAGACGATCTCTTGACTCATGTGGAAGGAGGTAGCCACTTTAGGTAGAAAAGATGGATCCATTCACAGAACTATTTTCTCCCTATGGAAATTCAAATAGGGAAGGTCTACCCTGAGGGCACAGAGCTCACTAGCTCTCTGAGCTGATGTAACTGCTACAAGAAATGCTGTCTTCCAAGAAACAAGACGCAAATTGATAGTTGCCAAGGGTTTGAAGGGGGCTCTTGTTAGTGCTAGTAATACCACTGAAAGATGCCAAGTAGGCATAACCGGTCTGACCGTCGGATGAAGGTTATGCAGCCCTTTAAGGAATCTCTTTATCAGTGGTTGAGAAAAAATGGAGGATCCTTGAAGTGTACCATGGTAATAGGAAACTGCCGCCGTGTACACCTTTATGGAGGATGGCTTAAGTCCCAAATGGTGGAGTTCAAAGAGGAACTGGAGAATATTCTCAATGGATGCTGAATATGGAAGAAACAAACGAGACTCAGCAAAGATAGAGAATCGCCACCACTTAGCCACGTATGATTTTCGGGTTGACGGCCTTAACGCAGAATTGAGAATGCTTTGGATGTCTGGGTGGAAAACTGTCGGACCCAATGGGAAACTGGTTGGATCCAATGAAGTAGGGAAGACAAATGGATTTGAAGCCTGGATTCGAGTGTCGGATCCGGGAGCAGGACCCGTATCAGGTGTAAATGCCGTCAGTACCGAGTCAGCACCGACTGTTATCGAATCCACCAGGCTGTTAATTTCAGCACTGTTAAATCCGGGTGGCGAACAGTGCCCTCCCGCTGAGTTATGAGATACGGAACGGATGAAAGTTGAAGATATTCGTTTTGAGAAATGTGAAGAAGTGTCGAAAACCATGCTTGGCGTGACCACCATGGGGTTATCAGTAGTCCTGTGGCCCAGTCGTGAACTATTTTCGATATTACTCTCATAATGAGGGGAATCGGAGGGAAAGCGTAAAAGTTCATATTGTTCCAAGGGATCATAAAATCATCCCCTGATGATCCTTGTCTGATTCCCGCTCTCGAGCAAAAGGTCTTGCATACCCCGTTCTGCTGGGTAGCAAACAAGTCTATGTCCGGATGACCCCAGCGATGGAATAGTTGGTCGCGTATCTGACAATCCAGTTCCCATTCGTGAGATGTCAACATGTGTCTGCTTAGAAGATCGGCCTCCACATTGTCCGTACCGGCTAGATGTACTGCTACGAAGGCAATGTCTCTCGGGATGCACCAATCCCAGATCTGCATCGATAGCTGAGCCAACGTTGGCGACTTTGTCCCTTCCTTGTTTGTTCAGATAGAAGACTGTAACAATGTTGTCCGAGGTTATCTGAACAACTCGGTGCCAAAGAACGTCCTTGAACGATCGTAGGGCCTTGAACACTGCCAGAAGTTCCAGGAAATTGATATGGTTCTTGGATTCCTGTCGATTCCAAACACCTTGAGTGCGCAGATCGGAACACACTGCTCCCCATCCGAGTAGGGATGCATCGGTACTGAGAGCCCTGAAGGACATCGGGGTCGGAACGGAACCCCAATGGTTAGGTTGGCCGGAATTGTCCACCATAACAGCGACTGAAGAACAGAGGATGAAAGCCGAACTAACTTCGTCGGTAAGTCCTTTTGCGGTCGAAACATCTTGTTGAAGAAGAGCTGAAGAGGACGAAGTCGAAGTCTGGCATGTGGGACAACGGCGACTGATGCAGCCATGTGTCCCAAGAGTCTTTGGATGGATCGGGCTGGAACCGTCCTGTCTTGTCGCATTCGATGGATGTGCCGAGCGAGAGTGTGCTGCCCGAGGAAAGCTTTTGCTATGGGAGGAAAGCTTTTGCAATCATGGAATCCAGATACGCTCCGATGAAAGTGATCATCTGTGCAGGAACAAGAGAGGATTTCTCGATGTTAATGCAAAGTCCAAGGTCCTGCAGCAGGGTACAAGTTATATGTATCGAGGCAAGAAGTCCTTCTCTGGTCTGAGAGACTAGTAACCAATCGTCGAGATAAGGGTAAATTTGAACACCACGTAGTCGTAAAAAGGCACAGACAGGGGCCATGCACTTCGTAAAAACCCTTGGTGTGGTGGCCAGCCCGAAAGGTAACACCATGAATTTGAAAACTTCAGATGCAACAGCAAAATGGAGAAAACGCCTATGACACGGATGAATCGAAATGTGGAAATAGGCATCCCTCAAGTCCAATGAGGGGAACCAGTCCTCTCTCCTCAGCAACGGTAGGGTATTTTGAAGGGTGGTCACTCTGAATTTTTTTGTTGTGATGAATCTATTGACATTTCGTAAGTCCAGTACTGGACCAAGACCACCGTCCCACTTCGGGACTGTAAAATATCTCGAACAGAATCCGTGGAGTCCTTCCGTTCGAGCTATTTGATGAATCACTCCTTTACGGAGAAGCTGTCGAACTTCGTTGAGCAATTCCGGCGAGCATGGTGTAAACCGGATTGGGCTCGATGAACCATGTCGAATTCTATCCAATATCTGTGCTGAATAATGGATAACACTCACCAATCAGATGTGATGGACTCCCAAATGGGGAGTCGGCCTTTCAGCCGGTCCCCAAATGAGAGAGGGGTGGGTGGGGTAGGGAGTAGAGGAAAGGTTCGCCCGTCCCATCAACGTTGTCGCTTGTCGCCATCGAAACGGCGACAGCCCTGTTGATAACGTTGTGGCAGCTGTTGTCGGTGGCGTTGTTGTTGTCGGTGCTGAGGTTGTTGTCTTGAGTGGTACGGGTGCCGATATGACGGACGGGTCCAAGACCACTTATGTCGGATTTGGGGCTGCAGTTCCATGCGCCGAGCCGTCATCCTAGACTCATGAATCTTTTTCAGCTTGTGGTTGGTCTTGGAATGGAAGAGCCCAGACCCGTCAAAGGGCATCTCCTCGATCTGCCTCTTCATCTCCTCTGGAAAGTTGCAATTGCGCAACCTCACATGCCGCCAGAGGGAGACAGCACCGACCAGGGCCCTGGAGTCCATGTGATGTCTGGCGGTGGAGAGCTGTTGGACTGTGACCTGCATAGCCTCCTTTATGAAGACCTTTGTAAGGTCGCCCTGGTTGTCTGGGAGAGCTGAGATCACGTTGTTGAGGCGCTGCATTATAAAGTACTGGAATCGCGCCAGTGTCGCCTCATAATTGGATATTCTCAAGACGAGTCCAGAGGCCGCATAGACTCGGCGAGCTAGAGAATCAATCTTCCTCCCCTCCTTGCTGTGGGGCATGGTGTGATCCCTCAACTCCCTGCCCTGGGAAGACTCCACCACAATCAAGTTTGGTTTAGGATGACACAGGAGGAATGGGATGTCCTCCTCCCGAACCTGGTACATGGCTTCGTACCTCCTCGATGTTGGTTGAGGATGGGCGGGCAGGTCCCATGGCTGGGTCATTGCTTGCCGCAGGCTGGTAATGAGTGGCAATACTATAGACGTCGACTGCTGTCCACGGACGACATTGTAAAATTTATCAGTGCTGGGGCCGGGCCATTGCATGGCATCGATTTCCAGCGACTGGACCAGGCACGACATCAGCTCCGCGAAGGAGATGTGCGATTCATCGGGGGATCCAGGGCCCTGAGAGGTCACCGCAACATCTGGAGAAGTCGAGTCGACGTTGGATTCGTCTGAATCCATCCCATGGTATGGGCGAGCACTGGAGGAAGACTCTCCAGATGACAGGGACCGACTGCTTTCCTTAGTCGGTATTGCTGGAGCATGCCTCGGAGCCAAAGATGTCAGGCGGTCTCGAGGAGCTGGTGGAGAGGGATGGTCTCTAGGAGCTGGATAACGTCCAACAGAGTGGTAGTCCCCCCATCCGTGATAGAATGAAGATTGGGGATGGTACCAGTCGTCAGATCTCCTGTCAGACAAACGGCTTCTCCGACTCCTAGGAGGAGACATCTCCATCTCCACATCCAGTCTTGCTGGGGCATAGGTGTGGGAGACCTAGCTCTGGGCGGGGAGTCTTGAATCTCCCCATCGGAGATCGATTCCCGATGTGGAACTTGCAGAGGCTCCATTGTTGGCTCGCCCACGTGCTGAGGGGACCTGGAGGGGTAACCCTCATAATCGCTTGAAGCATTGGGCCCAGTGGTGCCGGTACCGCGACAGCCGTCGGGACCGAGGGGGCCGACAAACCTGAGTCTCGATGCTTGGGATGCTCGGGGTTCTTCAATTTGTGAGGCTGCTTCACGGCCTTATCTTTTTTGGCCTTTTTGTGCTCAGATGGTTTTTCAGAGCCGCTATGCTTCCGCTTTTCACACCATTTTTTTGGCGGGGAAGCAGGCCAATCGCCCATAGTGGAGGCACCTTCATCCAAAGGGCGTGAGGGCGGAGCTCCAGAAGAAAAGGCCGGAGGCGCAGAGGAGGCTGGACGCGCAGTTGCAGCCGAGGTCAAAGCAGGGCAAGTAATCAGTGGATCCGATTGCAGAAGTGAGAGGTCCCACAAGAGCCTATGTAGGCGATTCTCGTGGTTCTTTCTAGCCTGCTTCGAGGCCAGACAATGGCTGCACTTGTCTGTCCTATGACCTTCCCCCAAACAGAGAAGGCATAAATCATGCGGGTCTGCTGGAGACATTTCTGACCTGCACTCCACGCACTTGCGGAAAGCTGCTCGTTGTGACATCATAGAAAAGAAAAAAGAAGAAGATAGTGCAGAGGAAGAATATAATATTTTTGGTTGTTGTTTTTTTTAGGAAGAGAGTAGAAGAAAGAGCAACGAGGACTATCAGAGGGGATATACAACTTGGAATATAACTTGCAAAAAGGAGAAGGAAGAATCACAAAATGTGGAAGAGAACGAGAAACGGTCAGAGTGAGAGTGAAAGCGGCACAAGGCACAACGAACGGTGGTTGCAAAGACTGGAAAATGGCAGACACTCCGCTCCATATATACTGCTAGGGGGGAAGGGGAGCGGAGTTTTCCCACCAAACCGTTAGCTATCAATCTCCCGGCCATAGGCACTGCGCAGGCGCAGCACCCCATACGTGTGATGCACAGAGGCCACGACGAAGAATCATCTTTTACTGGGCCAGTGTCGGTGTGCCATCTACCCCATAACCCAACAATCTCTGGGCTGACAGAGATTGTCTCAGTTCTGATGTTGAAGTCTTCCAGACTGTTGGGGACTTTAACATTCATGCTAAGGACATCTGTCAGAGGCAACTGAGGATTTCATGGACTCCATGGGATTGTCCCAACATGTTATTAGCCTAAAGCATGAAGCCAGGCACACTCTGGATTTGTTTTTTTCAGCCAGGCTGAAAAATAGGAATAGTGACCAGAAAATGGGAGACTCTGAATGGGTCCCTTTATCATGGTCAGACCACTGCTTGATGAGCTTTAGGCTAACAGTGATTTTTCCTCCTGCAGGGATAGGACCATCAGACCATTCAGATGGTCTGATCCTGGAAGCTGATAGATCCAGTTGGTTTCCAGAGGGTTCTGGGAGAATTTATGGCTGATATGGCTGGCTGTCCGATCAAACCCATGGCCGATATCTGGAATACAGAGATGTCCCAGGCAGTTGACATGCTAACTCTTGGGCACTCTCCCTGTCATAGAGCATGTACAGCTCCATAGGATACCCCAGAGCTGAAAGCAACAAGACAAAACAGGAGATTGTTTGAGTGCTGATGGAGAAAAACTCCTAGTGCATATAATTAATCCCTAGTATTTGGCTACAGTCGAGTATACGTGGAGGTACCTTTCTTTGCCTCCCGACATTGCTCTGTAGGATTGCCTGGGGCCCACTCCATGCTGGCCCCATGGACATCTTGAAGCAATGTGAGGCCCACCTGCAATATATTTGCTAGGCACATCCAGGATAAAACTTCTTATAGCCACTGGGACAGACTTCAGTGTCATTACAGTTGCATCAGGTGAGATATTCAGGGCACAGTCCAGTCAAGTTCTCTTGGATGAGTTCCAGTTAGTACAACTTGAAGATGTTGACAAGGTGCTTGGATTGGTTTATAAAACCACATCCATACTAGGTCCTTGCTCCTCTTGGCTTATAAAAGCCAAAAAGAAAAAATCCAAAATCCATACTGGTGTAATTCCTTCATTAGATCATCCAAAACAAAATCATGGAAAAATGTGAGAGATCTCTAGAGCTTATACATGTGTTTACCATCTTTAGTTGGCCTAATACAGATAATGTACTAATATGGATTCTGGAATTAAAAATGTATTTGACACTAAATACCTCATCTTCATGCTCCTCTTCTTCATCAAAATTTTGCTTTGAAACCATTTCATTCCTTGTTTCTGGATCTCCTTCATTATTCATATACACATTCCTCCCATAATGGAGATTGTTCTGCTTCTGGAGAGCAGTATTAAAGGTCTTCTGCTGCTGTGCCTATATTAACAAGACATAAACTGAGTTTTAAAAAAGGACTAAGAAGAAATGCACACAGTGACCAAAGAAACACAATGCAGCATGTCACAATTCTCTTCAGCTGGAGCCAGGAAGCAAGAACTCAGCATTTTTCAGTTGAGCAGAACCAGATGTGACTATGGGAAATGTCTGTCTTCAAACAAAAGTAGCTTAATAGGTGTAAAAATGGGGTGGGGATGGGTACTTCAAATAAATCCTCAGCAAATGGGAGCTGGATACAGAATTATTCTTTCACTCACTGCTCTTCCCCCATCACTTCTCCCTAGCCAGACTCCTTCTAGTCTTGGAACCCAACAGAGTAACACAATTTAAGGAAGGACAAGAGAGAAGAAAAATGTGGTGGGCAGATGAATGACTCAGCAGCCTTCCCACTCATTGCTTTGCCACATGAAAATCCGCACTCGCCCGTAGCACTGTACAGCCATTCAGCAGAACCTACATTGGAAAACAAGATCTGCCAGAGACGGGCATAATTAGAAAAAGACAAAGGAGAAAAGGAAAGGCAAACCCATCCATACACCCCACTCTATTCCATACAGCATGTAGTGTTTGCAATATATTAATATCACATATTAGTTTTTCTGAATGATTTCATATATCCACTGATGAAGGTGAGATTCATGACCCCATTCCCCATAACCTAAATTCAAAAGTGACATGGGCATGCCACACCAATATGATCCATGAGGTACCTGCATGTTTAATATGGTGAGGAAAATGTTTATTCAACTTAGGCATGCAAACTGAGTTATTGCATCAGATGCATGCTAAAAGGGCTTTCATTGTGCAACAACCACAGAACAAAAGAACAAAAATACAATGTTAGTTGAGAAATACTTAATAAAATATGCTTAGATCTCAATAGATGTACCTGTTTCATTGCAGTTTCTCCAATTTTATCAGAATGTTTCCGAATACTCTCCAGGAAGTCCTTAAGATCTGACATGGAAATTTCTTTTATTTCTTCACGGAGTTTTGGTAGATTTTCAGTCATTATCTGACAAAATCGATACTGACTAACTCTTGGAAAGTATGTATTTTCTAGCTGTTCCATAGTTTTTAAAGCTGAATAATATCTGGAGGGGAAAAAGGTAAACATTTTCTATGCAAACACCAAACAGAATGTAGGCAGTCCTCAAGTTACAAACATCAACCTAGTTACAACCTAGATTGTGATACAATTTTGCTTGGACTACATTCAGCCTTCTCTAAACTGGCATTCCATATACCTCCCACTGTTCTCAGTCAGCACTGTCATTAGATTGTCAGCAGAGACGGCCTCATAGAAAGACAGGTAGGAGCAGAAAGAAGCAAATGAGGCAGAAGGATGAACAACAGACACAGCAAGGGAGAAAGTGTGAAGATGGAGCAGTAGATGAACCTCTTGGAACTCTGCATTTCTCCCTTCTGCTACCCAGGGAGCAAACTATCTTCAGGTTCACTGCTTCTCAACAAATTGCACACTTCTGAACAGTCATTTTTTCTGGATGTGAGACCCAAGCTCAGAATGCTTTCTTAGCACTATGTTGCCAGGCCAAGGGTAGAGGTCTTTCTTAAAGGATCATCAAATGCTCCCTGAGTTTATATATAGGAAAGTATGGAGGAAACAGTACTCTGGAAACAACATCCATTCCAGATGTTCTTATATATTTACATTTAATTCCAGTTAGTAAAAGAATCAGCAATGTTACTTTCAATATAATCATTGAAAAGTTATCAACTTTTCTACCCACATTCTGCTTTATTTAAATGGTACAGCAGGGTCAAATGTAATGATCCTGTCTTTCAGAATGCTCAATTAGCTTCAGGCCCACATACTACTCCTTTGCCCTTCTCCTGCCGCCACTTTTCACTGGCTTGGTGCGGTGATCCTGATTTGCTTAAACCAAAACACTCTGTCACACCCAAAACAAGAAACTCTGGCTTAGTGCCAATTTATTAACCTGGCACAATAAAAATATGGCATAAGATCTTGATTAATTAAGTGAAGCAAGCCTGTGTTTGCCCTTTGGACATAACAGGGAACTCTGTTGTAACCAAACAGGATAACAGCACTGAAGACAGTACAGGACAGAAAGAGGAAAAGTGTTAAGGAAAAATATACTGACCCAACCCTCCTTCCTGGCTTGTTTAATCAAGTTCAACAAACCAAGAATCTTACATCCCAAAGGCTTAGGGTATTTTTCATCTCATGTTCCAGGGCACAGACTGCAATATGGAAACAGGCTCCTGGGCTGCCCTGGAAAGGTCTTTGTACAAGTTAAACTGAGGTGTGGAAGAAAAGAATAGGCAAGCTTATAACCAAGAAAGTGGAGAAACAAGCAATGAGAAAAATAATAATTTATTTGTACAGAACTGGTTGATTAAGGAGAAAAAGTGGGGAAAGGAATACTACAATGAAGAAGTCTGCATATGCTCAATTACACTATGATTTCTTCCGAAGCATTTTGGCCATGAATTCACTCATTGAACTTATGCTAGTCTGTTGTGCTATGCGTCAGCTATAAAATGGGATTCAACATCCTCTAAAAAGGTATATGTGCAATATAATGCATATATACAAATAGAACTTCACAGAAACCCTGAGACAGAAGCCCAATCTAGATTGTCTAGAACAGGGGTCTCAAACTCGCAGCCCACGGGCCAATTGCCAGGGCAGGTGGGGCACGGGCAGGGGCCCTGCGGCCTTCAAAGCACCGGCAGCGCCTGGGCCGGCCTCCAGGAGCGACGCGGGATGAGCGGCCCACCACCACCACGGTGGTGGAATACTTGATGCAGCCCAGCCTCACCCAGACTGCCCCCAGGTAAGTTGAGTTTGAGACCCCTGGTCTAGAGTGTAGAACCCTTGCAGAAACAAATATCCTTGGTTTCATTTTCAATTTATTTTCTCAGTATAATTGTTTAGGTCTTTTGTAATGGAAATTCAAATCCATTAGGAACGTGGTTAGAGTGACCAATTACATCAAACACAGAGCCTCTGTTTCACAAAAGTGCACTTCATCTCAGAAAGATCATCATCTTAACACTAGCCTACAATTCCCATAATTATGGTGAGTATAACTGTGTTTCATTTGGGAAGCATATGCTCTAAAACCCAAGATTTCACTCAAGCAGGAAAGGAAGTTTACAGCTGTCTTAGTAGCTGAGCTCATGTCTTTTAATTTCTATCAGCTGGATGATGTATTACAGCCCCTTTTTCCCAAGGAACTACAGGAATCTACTGGTGATGCTGTCACATACTACACTCGTATGTATTGCAATAAATTTTTTGCTGATTGAGATCCCCAACACACTGACTGCATCCTGAGATTAACCATGTGTAAGTTCCAAGGATGTTAAACAGGGGTTGGTAACACTGCACTCTCCAGATGCTTTAGACTACAGCTCCAATAAGGCTCAACCAGAGCAGCTAATAGTCAGGGATTGCAGAATTTATAGTATAAAACCTCTGGAGTCACTAGGCAACCTAACCCAACATGAATTTGGAAATACCTTTGTGGTTTTGTCTATTTTGCTATTTTCTCTTTGTTGTTCTTCTTATTGGACAATTTGTGTAAGCACTATTGTTTAGCCACGTGTGTGTTTGTAGGTGGCAAGATTGAGAAGAAACAGCTACTCAGACATCCAATTGCAATCCCAGGTTTTCCTGGTTGGGACTCCTGCCAGAACCAAACAAAAGGAGGAAAATAGTCCTTAGACACTGAACAGTCTTTGAATTCTGACTGTTTACAGTAAAGATTACAGATAGATTTTATATATTTGCCATGTAGTATTTACAGTTTGCCTCACTGTTGTAGTACATTTCAGTCTAGATTGTGTCAACTGCACCATTGTCCAGGGAACCACACTGCTACACTGTCAGATATGGTTTCCAGGCCCACCTACTCATGCACAGGAGTATCTCCATTTTCATCCCTGGAATATTGGTGGGCATCTAAAACAACAGTATAGTCAAGTGGCTAGAATGCAGAATGAATATACATAATGCATAGCAGCTTAACACTTCCCCCCATTTTTTGATCGATGATACAGAAGAGAACATCAGCATTAGTATAGCCATGCAAGAGAGAGGGAGGGAAAGAGAAGCAGAGAGGACCATCTTTAAGAAGCAAAAGAAGAAAATTAAGAGACTCAAATTAGCATTTAGATAAGTTATCTTCCTGTCCAAGAAACTACTCACCAAAATTATTATTACAGCAAGAATATTTGCCAAATCAATATATAGATACACATCAAATTGCTAGATCTTTATTGCACACATCTCAACAAGTGCTCTTATTTTAGGGATTGCATTAAAGACTAGACAGTTCAACAACAAACATTAATCACATATAAGAGATAGAGAGAGCTTTAATTCTCTTTTTATTTTTAAAGTAGTATATATTTGTTTAGAATGTACTTTGAAAGCTCAGAAGTACAATCTTAAGCATGTTTATTCAAAAGTAACCATTGCTGGTTGCAGTATGATTTAATCCCATGTAAGCATAAACAGAACTGAAGCCAAAGGAAAATATGAACAATGAATATTTCTTCACCTTTTTATGTCTCCAGTATTCACTGTCCAGAAATCAAATTATAAATGCCATTATAAGCCAAGCCTAAATATTTTCATCGTACTTCATACAGTGAAAATAAAGCTCATTTTTTCAAGGTACTCATTAAGTCCCTGAAAATGCTTTATTTTCCTCACAACATCTGTTCATTTGTAATGACAGACATGAAACAAAGACATGAAAAGAATACAATGACCAGACCAAGATTCATTATATGTCTTGACCAGTCTTCCAGTCTTTACCATTTCATCAGTAATTGTAGAAGACAAGCGGTTGAATCCATTCATTAAAAAAGTTATATGTTTGTTAAAAAGAGTTTCACTTACCTTTTTACATTCATCTGCTCTTTTAATTTGCTGTACATCTCCAGTACTGTATAAAAATATTAAAACTCATAAATGCTACTTATAGAAAGTATAAACATTTTGAAATATATTTATCTTCTACGGATTAAGTTTTACAAACAATTTCACTGTCTTAGGAAGGTCTGACAAGGATAAAAGGAAGTGATCAACATGTAAAGCAATGCTGGAAGAAGCAAGGGTGAAGGTCAGTAATAATCAGGAAAATGAGGCAAAAGCATCAACTTCAGGCTTACTCCACACAACCTTACTAACACTTTCTCAGTTTTGCAATTAAGAGAAACCCTAAACACTTTCAGGCATCCCTATTTATTGTTGGGGTTTGGTCATAGCACAGGGCATGCCAACAGTACCACCTACTGTAATCCTTGCAAGTTACAGCAAATATAGAACAAAAGGTCAGGAGTAGTCTTATAGGCAGTACACTGTAACAGAAGAAGACTGGGATATTCTAAAGGGAAATGTTTCTAATCTGCAATGTTTCAGTAGCAAATCAAAACTATATAAAAATAAACATATGGGAAAGCATTACATGTGAAGACTTCGGAGCTTCACTTTGATTCTTCTAATTTCAGCTATGAGCAAATAGTGACTAAATGACATTTAATTGTGTGATTACATCTTATATCTATTAAGCCATTATCTTCATCCACAGCTTCTCGTTAATGTCTTGTATATACAATGAGACTAGAACTAATAAAACAGAACAAAACAGAAAGATCCCATTTGAGTCCACAATTATTATTTCTTTAAGAATATGACCCAGGGTGCCTCCAGATGAGGCTTTTATCATGCAATGACCCTGCCTCATTCATGGAATTTTACAGGGATCTAGTCAATTACATCTTTCACTTGAACCCAGCCATGTTTGCCCACATCATCTTCTGTCCTTTTTACCCCCACAAAAAAATCAGCAAAAGAGGAACAGACAGAATAGCTGCGCCATGTCTTGACTGATAGCAACAAGAGCCCTCCATCTGGAAGCAGCCACATTTCTTCTGAAATGAACATGTATCTAACTTCACTATGATTATGTACTCCACGTATTTGTAACTTACCTGGAAGACACAACTGAAGTTTTTCAACGACTGTTGTAATATTCCTTTGTTGAAGTCTACACTGGATTATTTCCTCCGTTTGTGCAATCACCTTGCATATTTTCAAACAGAGTACAGTTAAGTTATGCACTCACTGTTTCTGGTAAGTATTCACTAAGCATTTAGGAAGCACCATTTTCTCACCTCTTTCCCAGCATCTTGAAGCCTTCGGTTGGTATCAGTAACTTGGACCTTAAAAATAATTTCACCTTTGTTAGAGAAATATGCATATATTGCCCTGATGCAACTGTTCACCCTTGTAATCAGATCATGCTTCATGAGAAACTTGGAACAAAGAAATGCAAATCCAAATTAACTCTACAGCTTGAACTTGAACTTTTGATCACCAAAGGCTTTTTGTTAACTTCAATTAGTTATGACAGTTCTATCTAACAGATTCTGTGGCAAACTTCTCAAATTTACTTGGGATTTTTGAACTTTATTTGTTTCTGTAGGTCTGTCAAACAATTCAAATCAATGACCCAATTGACCACTCGTCCCTTTTTGATAACCTCAATGAGCTCTATGTGCCATTCATTGTCTGCAAAAAACAGTGATTGCATTTTATGGTAATTAAACATTCATACTTTGCTGAATGCAAACACTGGGTGGTTGATTAACATCAAACGTGGAAATCTCCAAGCCACAGCAACATTTTAATGCTGCAGGTGCAGGCAGAGCTCGACCTCAGACTTTCCCACATATTAAGTGACTCATTAGGTCATCATAATAAGGGAGCACATTCTAGTTTATTAAAAAACTCATTAATTTCTGAACAAAGATGCTCAATGACCTCATTGATGCTGTATTTGGTCTCTTGTTATCTGAATATCCTTTATATAATGCTGCTCTAATCATAACCTCTGGTGAACTACGTTCATTCTGTTTGGGGTGCATATTTTTCTTGCAAATGTGTAAAGGGAGCTAAAGGGACTAGTTCATAATAAGTTTTTAAAGAATCCCAGCAATTCCAATTGCTCTTTGAGGAAATAAGGAAACATGTCTGAGGAGGAAAATTCCTTGTTTGAGTACTTGTTTGCAAAAATATTTAGAGTTGCCATGATTTATGAAGTTGTATAATTACTGTATTATTAATTAAAATTAAATGCACGGCACATTTAAAAATAATAATTCTGTCCTTACCATTAGAAAGTTTTGAATCCATTGCAGAGAGACAAATTTGTCAGTGCATTATTTTAACTAATACAGCATATATTATATTATACTAATCAAATTAATATGAAATCATGAAAATTGCATGTAAAGCACAACACTTTTTCACAATTTCCAAATAATTACAAATTGTAGCAATTTACCTTTAATTTTTCTGCATCAGCTCTTACTTTAAGAAGTTCTGTAATAGCATCCACAAAGCCTTGATGATGAAAATTGCACATCTTTTCAATCTCTCTGTCATGGTTACGAATGCATGCATCTAGTTTTTCTATAAACTTTTGGTGTGCATTTGGTTGGTCATCATATACAGATCTGTCAAGCACATATAAATAATAAAATTGAAATAACAGTTTGCATGCATTAGGATTTTACTAAAACAAAGTGTTCAATTTTAAAACAAAAGAAAACTCAAATTGCTAACTTATTATGAGTTAATAAGTTGAATATCAATGTTGTCACTGGACAATAAGAATTGCCACTGGACAATGAAAAATAATCTAAGAACTGAAGATCAAATAAGGCTTAATTTAATTGCTTCAGGTCACATCTCAGTTCCATTATTTCTGTTGTAACACGTAAGTACTAGTCTTACGCTCCTCTTTTCCTACCATATCAAACAGAGCTTCCCTAAAAAAAACCATATTAAAATAAAAACGACAATTGCACAAAATATATAATCCTTAAGTGTACTGTCACATTATATTATTCTGTATGCCTAAAATCTAGCCAAGCATCCCCCTAGTGGAGAATGATTGCCAATTGTTCAAATATTTAGATTTTCAAAACTGAGTATCTTGCAAGGGAAACCTAGCTAGATAAACAGAAGTAAAATAAAAGTCAATACTGTTAACATAAATACGCATGCAGAATTAACAGAGATACAATTAAGGTTCAGCATTTATTTCTTAATTTTTATATTCCATTTTTCTCCCTAAAGAAAGCTCCAAAAGCAGGTGATACAGTTCATAAAGTAGCTACATCGACAGCAGATAACCAATAACATTATGCTTATTGTGTTTGAAGTAGGTATTTTTCTTATCATGCAACTATGAAATCTCATTTAGGCAACCAAGAACTTTCTATCCCATCCAGAAACCTGCCATCAAATTATTCTCCAAATTTATATTTTCAGCCAAACTTGCCCTAAGTCATTCAAGTGACAAGATATGCTTTTTCTTCTTAGTGTGGGCATTGGGAAGAGAAACAAAAGCCAGGAGGGTAGTGGTGAAAAAAACAAAAGGAAATATAGCTAAAAACATGAGAAAACCAAAGAGGGTTTTTCTGGAAAGAGCAACACAATCAACATTGACAATATACATACATGCACAGAAATATTTGAGTGAAGCCGTTAAGAAACCAAAATACAAACTCACTCCAAACAGTGACAACTTCACAGTATATAATCCTCATTAGTTACCAAGTCAAGGCTACTCTCCACTTAAGAATGTGTTTATGAAACCATCAGAGATACCTTGACAAATATAGTACTATAAATTAGACAGGGCACAATCTAGTCAGAGTTGGGCATTTTGAAGTCATATGGATTTCAATGGGAGAGGTTTAAACATGTGCTTAATTTGTTAAAGTTTAAAGTTGACTTGTTTATAATTAATTCACCATAGTCTCACCTCACAAATCATGGAAAGCAATGCTTAAATGCAGGGACCCAGCTTGTTGATTCATGCGCATGAAGGGAGGGACAAAACTGGATGCATGCTGCCCCTTATTAAGCAAGGGTATTTGGTTGAGCATGACATGTGAACTGGGTCATTGTGTAATGATAATGCATTTGCTGTGCACTGGAGAAGAGCCATATTTTATAGGCAGAGAGCCAAGACTGAGCAATAGGAGGAGATAAATTAGATTCCTGACAGGAAAAATAATCATTTCAGTATGGATAAACTTCATCCAAATGTTCAGTACAAATGTATCATTTAACAGTCATTTCAAAGATCCTTTTGTTTCCAAAATGATAGCTTAAGCAAAGGCCAATGTAAAATATATACAAAAGCACGCACCATATCACAGGCCATTTATTATACAAATATAAAGCTAGCACAACACAAAGCTTCAAACACAGCACTTTTTCCATACTACACATGGAAACTGTGCCACCTTGTGGGAGATATGGTAATTATTTCTCACTACGAGCCAAGAAATGATATCTAAAATATCTATTAATTCACATTTAATCTGTCACCAAATGGAATTATTTGCATATCCTCTCTAAACTATGATAATCTGAGATAATTTTATTTTAAATTTTAAATTTTCCAAACACAAAAAAGAAAATACACTTAATTTAACTCTAATTATTAACAAAAGGTCATCCACACACACCCTTACCTAATAACCAAACAAACAAACAAAAGAAGGTAGAATCTCTTTGCTGCTTGGATGTCTTCTCTTTAATTCTTTATAACAAAATATATTTAATCTCTTTTCCATAATCAGAAAAAAGAATTGGAAAATATTATTTTATATATAAAAAATCAGGCCATATTTTGTAGAAATCAGGTATTCTGACATACTACTGCCTTGGCTATTTGCCACGTGCCAAAGTTTCAGTATTACAAGTTCTACAGTTTTCCAGCTTTTAGCTATTACTCTGTAGGTTACTCATATTACTCTCATCAGCATGAACACAACTTTTTTTTTACTTTCCCCATACTGTTAATGCTTGCCATCTCTGAAACTGTAATATCCCAAGGCGCAACACAGTAAGACATGTCTACCACATACCAGTATTTAAGCCATTTTGATTATACTTTCTGCAACATTTTGCACTGTTTATATTCAATATCCTTGGGAAACTCACTGGCATAATGTCCCATTGGTGGTGTAACTATTTAAGGGCGCCATCCAATGTGGCTGAAGGATCACAGGAGTTTGAACTCAGAGAATTAAAGTCATCCAATGGAGGGTTGGAGAAGTGTGGAGGCAAGGACTGAACCTGTGCTCCCCTTGGCCTGCAAAATACTCAGAAAGTCTCTTTCTGCCCTCTACGTGTTTTCCCTTGCTTATGATGAGGAGGGACTGAGGCCCCACCAGGGTTCCTCATATCACAGTGGAGCCTTACTCCTCCACTCCCCATCCCAAGAATCCCACCCCCTCAATACTTGCGACTTCAGAGCTGGAGCCAGTGCAGTAAGAACTTGTGCCACCTTCAAGGATGTGGGGAGGGCACTCCAAAGTCAGAGGCCCAGGTCCAATCTCAGCACAGTCTTCTGAGGTCAAAGCTGGGACTCCCCATCTTCCTAAGGCTTATGAAGAGCTGCTCAAAATCATGTTTAGTGGATTGTAATAAACACAGTCATGGAAACTGATAAATGCTGTCAGTGATTTTCTTCAGTAACAGAGAGTGAACATTTCATTTAAGAGGCTAGGGCAAGCTGGGAGTCGAAAGGCATTTTTCTCTCTAAGCATGTGTAGGATTGTGCTCACTTGAACTGTTCAACCTCAAGTCATTCATGAGAAGCCACATCAGTAACATTTTTTAAAAGAAGTTTTATTTTTAATCCTCTTTGTACATTGCTTTTGATATTGGCATGGATACAATGCATAAAAATGAATGATCATAATTAGCATATCTAGAATGCAGTGTTTTAAAAACACAAGTGTCTGATTAACAATTTTCAATTTTGTTACTTTCATGTTTGCCAATTTATTAATATGAAAACTTAATTTATATATTCTTCTGTCACATACTTAACTCTAACATGCAACAGAGTTTTTGAAACTGAACTCTTAAATATTTTGCTCATCTTACTTGCTTTCCATTTCCCTCCATATGAACAGCTTCCCAAAAGATAAGAAAAGCAAACAACAGGATTTGTATGGATACACATTGCTTATTTCATCTGAGGTTGCAATCATGAGCAGAAAAAGGCTTAAGTGAAATAAACAAGATGTATAAACTAGACATCCTTTTTTGGGTGGGTTGTCAGCAACAGAATCTAACATTAGTACATACTGTGTCAAAGAGAGAACAGCAGATGCAAACATGAACACAATACACAATTCTCAGAACAAGAGAGCTAATGGTCAGTTATAGTGTAATAATGCCTGTCATGCAACATGTTGCATTTATTTCAAAATGTTGTTATTAAAAGTTATATAATTATTTATTTATATGAAATTCTATATAGAAGAAGCACAATTGTTATATGTAATACTGCTTACTTTTTATTTCTTACTTAATATGATTTCTTATATTACATATGATTTCTTAAGACTTTTTAGTCTTAATTTTTATTTAGCTTCATAAATAAAATGTGAACACTAGAGGGCGTCACTGATTCACATATGCTACTACTTTCTAAATAAAATGAAAGCTAGAATCAAATGTATTAAAATCTACCTAGGTTTTATGTCCCTTACCATACTGAACTAAGAAGAAGCTCATTTTGCAAACGAAGTGTTCATTCCTCTTATAACATGGAACAAACTACTTGATTTCCACGGCCAAGCTACAAAACATTAAGAACTGCCCAGAAGTAGAAAGAAGTTCCAGCTGACTGTTGCCGAAACAGTAAGCCACTACTCAGATTGAGTCAGGATATCCAAATCCATTTTCAAATCTTTCTGACCATTCTTGCCTTAGTACCACCTCTGCTTTGTTGATCTAACGTTAACTAAGAAGGAGTTTCTAAGGAGGATAGGTAAGCAGAGGGAGCAACTCTCAATCCAGAAGATGCTCTGCAGGGAATAGACCTATACCGGTGGTGTACCCATCTGGTCAGAGATCATCCTGTTTCTGTAATGGCTTGCTCAAATACTTGATTCGGAAAGGACATTATTGTTGATGATAACTGCACATGATGGAAGGAATAAGTGAGGTGAGTTCCTTTTTGCTTTCTATATGTTTTGACTAACCAGGTTGGAAAATAGGCTGGACAGGAGTCAGGGTAATTTAAGTGTTTCAGAGGGAGGGGAAGCAAAAGCTTTACCTGCTGATTGGTTGGGATTATTTGGAAACTCACAGCAGGTACAGGCTACACCAGACACTGGATCAGACAGTTTCAGTCCTGTTCTGAATGGGTTTGAGTATTGCAATGTCCTCCACACCACAGTTAAACAAAAGATTATATACCCAAATATGGAATAACAAGAGTTATTAACAAGTCTTCTCCAGCACCACAATTCAAAGGCCTCAGTTCTTCAGCGCTTAGCCTTCCTTATGGTCCAAATTTCACAGCCATACATTGCAATTGGGAAAACCATAACCTTGACTATACGAACTTTTGTTGACAGCATGATGTCTCTGCTTTTCAGCATGCTGTCTAGGTTTGCCATAGCTTTCCTCCCCAGGA